GTTATCGGGTGCAGATATGGCGTGACCGCGAGCGGAAGCGGTTGGCGGCGGTTGATGCTGCGCATCGCGAGGAGGTGCGGCGGTTGCAGCACATCTACCATCAGCGTGCCCCATACGAGGCAGTGGTGGCGGGTCAAAAGATCAATGACCTCAAGCGCCGTATGCGCGCACAGGCCGCCCAGGCCGCGGCAGCCTCGGCAGCAGCTAAAGAGGAGCAGCGGCGCGCTGAGGATGACAGCAAGGTGAGAATAATGTTGGAAAATGGAGGCCCGGACGGGCAGGCAGGGACTTAACTCTGCCGACATGACTCCAGGCCTGGGTCCCGAGCTTGGAGCTTGGATGAGGCGCGGAATGCGTGCTGATGTTGCATAACCATGGCAAGGGACAGAATTGCAGCTCGCGTACTGCCTGATTACGAGGAAGTGCCACACTCGCGGCTTCTGTAATCACTTCAGCATGCGCAAATTAAGGAAATGGATTCGGTTTTCATCCAACCCCAGATGCATTCGACCGCAGTCGATTATATCGAAGAGCGAAGCACGGAGGGCGGAGCACCTTGACAGCAGATCACGTTGACATGCTACACTGCAAGACAAGCAGCATTTGAGGACCTTAGTGCAGGTGTCAACCAGCTTCCTGTCCTATGCTGAGGCGCCTTTGGGTTAAACGCCATGTGCCGGCAAAGCAACAGGAGCCTTGCACCACTTCCGACATGGGCCTTCGATGATGATCTGCGTTGCTGGTGCGGTGTGCTGCTCGCAGGTGATGCTCCACGCGGGTCTGAGCTCCATTCAGGATCTTAGTCGCCAGGTGGCCAAATTGATTGCTCGGAATAAGAAGCTGGCGGGCAAGGCCGCGCGGCAGCGGGCGCTCTCTTCCCAACCCCTTTGCCCGTAAGGACCGACTGGGGTCCTTGGGTTGGCTAGGTTGCTGGCTGGGTTGCACGCATCCCGGTGAACGGGGCTTACGGCTCTTGCGGGTAGGGTCAGTTTGCGTTATGACAGGGCGGGGTGTGCATGATTGCTGTTTCCCTGTGCCGCGAGAATTTTTGCGCTGAAACAATACGATGGCCGCGGGTGTGGGCATGATTGCTGTTTCCCTTCCCACGGATTGCACCCCTACCAAGGGCAGCTATGGACATACGGATCACGTGGGTTTGCTCCAGCTCGCCCTTCCCCCACGCGCCTGCCGCAATGATGCCTGCACCTGCGCAATTGCCTGATGGGGATCACTGCGTGTGTTGCTCACTGTACAACAACTTAGGGTTTACCTCCTCCCCTTCCATCCCAACGCCACTCGATAGCGCGTGCTTTGACCGGTTGCTACTCTCGGACACGCTCGGGCAGCCACAGCGGACTGGCGCAGTGGAATCGTTGCAGCAACACCAACAGCGGCAGCAGCAGCAGCAGCAGCAGCAGGACCCGCTGGGCCCTCCGGCTAACATGGCTACACAACCTTACGAGCCAGACTTCAGTGCCGCCACGGCAACGGCAGCGACGCTTGGGGCACCCTACGTAGAGGGACACCAGGACAACGTCGCCTCTCTAACCACCGCACCCAGCCCCCGCTCTCCCCTCGGCACTAACGGGTACCACGCGTACGGCAGCCATAGAGGACGTGACACCTCCCCGGGGCCGTCAGGCGCGGGGTTTGGACTGGATACCCCAACGTTTAATTTGGCCAGCCACGGCGCATCAGGCGCAGCTGCTAGCACCGAACCTTACAATGCTGGTGCTGTTGTACGTGTCAACATGGTGCAGCCGCCGGCGTCCCCATCTGCCGTCCGAACCCGTGAAGTTGCGCTGGCTCCACAGCAGGTACCGCCGCCATACGCAGCGGCAGCTGCTGCGGCAGCCTATGATGAATCAGGGCTTGGTACCGCTATCGGCGATGTGCCGGGGCCATACCTAGGTTCTGGCGTCACGACTTATGCAGGCGCCACAAGCTCCGGGCCCCCTGGCGCCGTCGGCCGTGCCATGACCGCTGGAGAAATCAGCGCTGCCAGTTTGGCCGACTGGAGGACTGGTGCCAGCGTCCCCATTACGGTCCAGGTCCAGGTGGGGGGTTCAAGCCCGGCGCGGACCGTGGTCCTGCATGGCAGTGCGGTTGAGGCTGGCTCTACCAACGCCAGCATTGGATCGCAAGGGCAAGCACAATCCCGTGGGGTGCCAGTCCGGGTGCGCTTGCGATTCCCGCGTCAGGACATTACAGGGGCTTAGCACGCGCTGCAATAGCGTTTTAGACTATAACCAATGTATGTGTGGCTGGATGCTATCAGGGTTAGGCGTCTCGCTGCAATGGACGAAGGGTGTTTACGGGCATCTGATGAATTCTCAGCACGGCGGCGCTTATGCGTGCAGTTGAAGTGCACTAGATAATCTGATTGTGACTACATAAGAAAACTTTTCATATTGGCGGTTTTGACCATGCGTTTTGCGCAGCATTTACCTGTTCTGGCGTCTGTGTATGACTCTGATGGGAAATGGGCGCGTTCCGCCGCCGTAACGATGGGCGGGGTTTTGCTTCTTAATCGGAGCTGTTTTAGACAAGTAATCGATATTCCATGCGTCGGCATGAACGTAGGAATAGAGTTTCAGTGCGACAATATTTTTACTCCATTGTTACAAGATGACCCATCAATGCCAACTGCCACACGACTCACTGCTCTTTTTAAACCAAACATGGTGTGTTTACCTTTTCATCTTTTTGTTTTTTCTCGGCATATGTTCTTTTTTTGTTTTTTTCCCTGTAACATACGATGCCGCAAGTATTACCAATGCTCCATCAAAAACGCCAGAAAATTGCCAACTCCAAGCATCCGTGAATGCCAACGCAAACACGTCTGCTTTCGCCTGTCCGCCAAACCAATCGCACTGCAGCAACAATATGTAACAATACAGATAGGCACTTCCGTCATACCAAATGCCGCGCCAAAACACTTAAGTGCCGTTAGCTATGCATAGTCATAAGCAACGAAGGGAAGGGAGCATCAGCATACTCGACGCTCCGGGCACGTGACTCGCACTCCCAACGGCCGCGAAAGCTTTATACGTTTCACCGCCTCCTTACTAAGCCTCGAAACAGCATCAGCAATCACTACATAATAGAGCTATACGAGATTATAATGTCATGGCAGCACCCACGCGTACGCGGTCAAGGTGGGCACGTAGCCCTTATATGTAACATCAAGTACGACGAATATAGCTCTTAAGAATGACACTCATTACCATACCCGAAGTTGAGCAACAAGACCGGCGAAAAAACAGAAACCTGCACAGCTGCGGGAAGGTCCCCAGCACATAACCCATGCAACCCACGATAGATAGGAAGATTGAACAAGAGGCGAGCGATTAAGCACCCGTCCGACAAATCTTGAACATGCGGCTTAATGCATAGTGACACGCTAACACGCAATACAATAAAGAGGGGGGCTGTGAGGTGGTGCGTAGAACACCGCACAGCCATCCTCTTTTTTGTATACTTTCCACGAGTGGAACAGTAAACAATAAACACAGCACAGCCCCCTGCGTGCTTACCACCTTCCTCGGCGGCCGCCGCTCTCAAGACCAGACCTGGACACCATAGTCGCCCTATTCACGTGCAACGCGAAGTCAAGCACAAAAAAGAGAAGACCCTACGGCATGCACAGGGAAATGGAGTTACAGCACACCATCTTAACAAGCACAGCACCATCCCAGTCTCACAGCCGAAAACACCCATAAAACACTGGGTGACATCCCTATGAAGTTATATCAACAGCGAAACCATGCAAGATCTGGAACGATGCACTCGACACTCTGCACTTCTTAGGGCAAGCATAGGGCAAACCCGACCTAGCTATTCATCGACCAGAAGTTGAGGGTCCGCACCGTGACATTAGGATTCCGCATTGAGCAAAAAAGCAGACGGGAATCGCGTCTTTTGGGAAAATTCATTTTTTTGATAAACGCAATTTGAAAATCAGTCAGCACACACGCGTCACAGGCCTTGCACGATAAACAATTAAATAGAGCTCTCATATGGCACCAGGGTTTCGCGAAAATCTCAGCCCGGCTGGGGCCGAGGCGGGCAGCACGCATAACGGCTTCCTTAGCACCAGCCCGCTGGAACCACACAGCAGAGGAAGCGTTTGGCGACGCAGTGTAGCCAATCCGCCTGCTGCACACACTGCTGGGTAACTCAGCGGACACAAGCATATGGGTAAATGCATCAACACAAACCATAACGCGAAATGGCATACATACAGCGTAAGCCCACACACGCCGTGCTTCTGCGGTGCCCCTGGAGATGCCTCGCAATATGAGAATCGAATCGCCAACCACGCCGTGGATGTCAAAACGGCACCACACCATTCCGTGCCGTACTACCTCACTTACATCCAGCGCCAGCATCCTTTCACCGTGTAAAATTTTTTCGGGCGCAAATCTTTTTTCAAGTTCAAAAAGTGTTGGACAAACCTCGCATCTGAAATATTACCGGCACAACTGAGGCCTCAGCACAACTTTTTCCTGGGCCCAGGCGGCTACGCAAAACGCCTTGTTCTTATCCTGCACAGATACAGCCACAAAAAGTTCAGCCTCCACGGAGAAATCGTACACAGGTTGGTTTAAACGGAGTCTCAACGAGCGACAGGCAAGCCAAAAGGAGCACGCCGCAGACGCATTTGAGCCTGTCTGCATGGATACGCAGGCGGCGACGCGTCGGGCGCAACGCTCTAGGGCTTAAATCTTCTCTCGACTCACATTGGCATACACTCGTTCTTTTCATACTCAATATCATCCTACCGTGCTAGCAATCAAGCTGCAGAGACGGTTCAGGAGGCACAAAGGACACAAACAGTATTGAAACGCCGATGCCCCAACTCCTAAGAGGGCATAACCGTTAGTTGTAAGAGCACGGCAACCTACTGCAATAAACAGCTCCACGCTTCCGAAGGATGCGTCCCGACTTCCCCGACCTCTCCCCCGACACTATATCTGTCAACACAACCAGGATCCCGCTCAGCAAGCAGCCGATCCATCGCAAAGGCTCTGTGAAATGAAATCCGCCAGACTTGGGCTCTTCTTTAGGTTTAGACCAATGGGTGGCGGCAGTACCTTTCCTGCCTCCAACCCACAAAGCAAGTCCACCTTACTGATCAACGTGCCGGGGGTCACCCTCGGCGGCGGCGGCGGCTGCAGGAAGCCCTCTACCGCCAACGTCGTGGCAGCACTGGCAGTGGAGATAGAAGAGACCGCCGGCAGGGGGGCACTATCGGCCCGCTTCATCGATAGGGAGGCATTAGTCCCACATGACAGGGCCAGGCAGCTGCTGCTCAGTGGCATTGGGCTGCAGCAGCCCCCCGTCGAGAGAGTGGGCGAGGGGGAGCCCATCAGGAGTGGGAACAGCGGTGGCGCAATGAGCGGGCTGCCTGGCCAGCCCATTGGGCCCAGCAGGCCGCCCATGGGCGCCTTAGGAGAGAACTGCAACGGATTTGTGGGCAGTCCCCATTCAATGCCTGGCACTCCAGCTGGCAACGGCGGCAAATGCCCTGCAGGGTAACCAATACTGGGCTTGGGCCCACTGCTGCTCCCAGTCCCGGCCCCGTGTGTCGACCCGCGATTGGCCTTGTACTTGAGGGGCTGCGGACGAGGTTTTCCGCAGCCCGGTAACCCAGCATCGAGCTGCATCGCGTCGGGGCCAGCGACGCCAGCAGAGGCGCTGCCGCCTTGCAGAGCGTTTTGCACTGCGATCCCGCCAGTCAAAGCATCGATGCAACCAATGGCTTCCTGCAAAGATGAGGTCTCCATATCTGCATCCAATTCAACTTTGACGGGCGCCTGGTCGCTCGTACTAGCATTACTGCCCGATTCGCCACCTGATCCATCAGAATGTGTACCCGGACCCCCGCCTTGCGAGGCTGAATGTTCAGGTGATGCTGTTCCAGATGCTGCAGCTCCTTTACGCTGTGCTGGTTGTGCAGTGGAGCTCACAGATAGCATCCGCCGCACTGCAGTCATCGAAACGCCGGCAGCCGCCCGAGGGTTTGTCAATCTGAGTCTTTGAACTTTGAAGCGAATGTGAAACCCACATAACATTTGAAGTCACGGAAAATGCAAACCGTCATATAGTTTGTAGCTGCCTCACTCGAACTTTCCAACCGCCACGCATCGAACCTGCATTATTTTGTAGCGTACGAAGCCCGTAACTCAAACTCACCCGAATGTTGCCAGATGTTCTTCAGCTTGAGCGGTGACAGGGGCTTTTCCAGAAAGTCAACTGCGCCCAACTTTATGCCCAGCATAACTTCATTTGGTGCGCTGCATTCGGACATCAGGACAAGCGGAATCGATTTTGCAGCTTGCATGACAGCAGCGTGCTCTGCTGATTTCTGCTGAAGACAACGGGCGTCGGCAAGGAGTACGTCGCAGCTGTTTTCCTGATTCGCCAGGAAAGCTGCTGCCTCCATGCTGCATCCGCAAGATGTTACGGAATAATGGTTCTCACGAAGCTGCGTTTCCGCTTCCTGCCGGGCCTTAAAGTCGGGTTCCAAAAGCAGCACGTGCAAGTCCCGGGGAAAATTCGGCCGATGTGACAGACCAGGCAGCTGCCGCAGATTTGTTAACTCCAAGGCCATCCTGATGGAGCGCAAGCAATTCAAGATTACGCAACCTGCGAAAGCATCAATTCCTGAAGTTATCCTCCCGGCACTCGTGGCTTAGCAAGACCTACCACCCTCATGGCAGCAAGCAGCGCATCGTGAATTGGACTAGAAATTAGGAAACCGAGCAATCAGCGCAGCAACATGCAAGCCAATCTTATTTGAGCGCTGTCACATTGACTTGCTTGGCATAAAGCTGGGCGCAACACAGCAGGATAACATGCGGAACAGGAAGTCTCTATCCTAAACCAGATACGCACGAAGCGCCAGACCCTATTGACCTTGGTCCCAAGATACGTGACCTTTTCCTTGCAGGATACAGGCCCGAAAACTACCACGACGGTGATGGTCCGAGAGCTATTGAAACCTGACTTACCGAATAACCTTCAACTTTATCAGGTTCTGAGCGATGCGGCTGACACCCGGTTGCCGTTTGCGGCGACCCGACTTTATCTGCCTTCACCGTGGGTGACAAAAGTCCGCGCGCTACTTGCAACGCTGCCGGTGACTAAATTACCGACAAGCGATATAGTCTCAAGTTTTTTACGCTTATATCCTTGCTTGCCTAACTCCTCCACTGTCCCGCTCCCTCACACTCTTATTGCATAACAACAGACCACCTATAGCATTTCACCATTAACCACAACTACTCCGCAACTACGAAACTACACAAATCAAGGACGAGTGGAAATCACACGGCGGAAAACAAATTGTACGGCACCTTCTTATCGAATTGAGAACTTCTCATGGCGACGCCGTGAGCGTTATCCGGCGCTGACCTAAGAATGCCTCCTAAAACTAAATTTGTTTTCCTACAAAATTAAATGGTGTGAATGTGGTTTTCCTCGAATTTTCACAGCTGATCAAGGGAACGCTTCGTTCCAATTAACTCGCATTTTTTAAAGGCTAAATGAATGGTGGCCTTGCGCCAGCTCGCAGCCCTTGGGTACACCCCGTGTACGTTCGACTACGGGTATGTCGTGGCTGCTTCACCGACGCACAGCGCTGCGAACCAAGCGTTACCAAAACTCTCCCAGGGGGTAGCTGTTTCACGGATGCGGAGTGCTGATTTCCATGATTAAGTCTGTCTCTCCTCTCCTCCCCGTCCCCGTTCGTTTAAAATATTTCCTCTAGGAACCCAACGGGTGACTTGCCCACACGGGGGGCATGGATCGAGGTATTCCGCAAGAGCATACCCACGTTCAAGGCCCATGCACTGACTGATCCTCACGTTCCACCGGAGCAAAGAGAGGTGCGGTTAGGAGCGAGGCCAGTTGGCCAGACTCGTAACGCCCAGGGTTACCGGGCAGCCACGCCCGCACCTGATTCTTACCAACGGCCCGCCCAGGACACGCCTTCTGGATTTTTCTGCGTCCAAAAACACATAGCTGGAAGGGGTCGTGGGGAAGAGCATCATATCGGGAAAAGTATCTGTCCTGCGAAACCACCAAATCGAGATGTTCCCAGCGTGGGGAGGAGGTTCTTCAGGCCAGCTGCTTCCCAAAGCGCAACCTCATCACCCTCCGTTTCGATCTCCACTTGCGACACCTACCCACCATTCCACTTTACCAGCCTCCACGTATACCGTACCTGAGTACCTGAGTACCACCAGCAACACAGCCGCCGAAGCAGGCGACTCACAAACCTACCCGCAAACCACGCCGCCCCAAGCGAGCAACAGAGTATTCGGTTATGGAGTTGAACCGCCACAGTCGGTGAACAGGCGCATGGACCAAACCTTCCAGACCGATCGTGTGGGCATTAGCCCGCATTCAGCCGCAACCCAGCTGGCCAGGGTTACGCTCACGTGTAACATGCAAGCACTGTCAGCATAGGTGTGCATAAGCCACATCGGAACATTGGACCTCTCCATCGCGTCATCAAATCATTATCGGCCTTGGAAGCCGTGGTTCTTGCATCACCACGGCAGTCAGCTAATCAACAAAGCCGCTTACCGGGCAATCCGGCTTTTCCCCCCCGTGTTACGGATGCTGTTTTGCATTGGATCTGCTGTTGAGCTGTGCGAGCTCAAAATGATGTGTAAGGCAGCGAGAGCGCAAAGTTGTGTTCTGCGCAGAAATGGTCACGTGCATTCGATTGGAACACCGCCTCACACTTGTTCATATGCACACATGTGTACACACGCGCGCGCGCGCGCGCTCGCAGCCACTCACACATGCACTACTCCCCCCTTCCCCCCCCCCCCCACACACACAACTCTGGCTCAACGCTTCCGTCCCCTCCCCCTCTTTTTCGCGAAGTGCTGCTCCTGACTTTCATATCTCCTCCCCCTCCTCCTCCACCTCCCCCCATCAGTCTATCCTTGGCACCATCTTCACTTGGTGGTTCGTCCTTCCCCTCGCCCTCCCCCTCTTCCTCCTCTTCCTGTTGCTGTTGTTGCTATGGGTGTATTGCGCTGTTCAGGCGGCTGCGAGGCAATTCGAGGCTACCTTCAACTCCGCACTGGACGCACTCCTGGCTGACCCCAGCACCCCGGCTCCCGGCCACCCCACCGCCCACCCGGTCAACTGCTACACCCTGTGCCAGCTGCGGTGAGCTCTGAGGAACCCCCATCCTGTGGCTGTGGTCGGCGGATGCAGTGATGATTTTCCCCTCAACCGTCCCCAGATGACACGCGCGCCTACATCAGCCGCAGTTTGTATCAAATTTTGGTGATGTCCTCCCCCCTTTTATGCAATCTTTCTTAACAGTGCCTAACAGAGTGCTAAAAACGAGACCATAGAAACAATAACATTAAGGGGGGGAAAGAAATGGTACCGCCCCGGCGGTTGCCTGGCTGCGTTGCCCGGGGCGCATGGGGACGCGATGTTCGCACACGCGGATGCGTCCGGAAGCAAACGGCTGGGGTTGATAGAGCCAGGGTATTAGAGACAACGCCTGCGGGTAGAGACGAGCGGGGAACACTAGGGCGCTGGCCAGGTAAGCAGCGGCTTTGCCCCCGGCAGGAGGAGGGGGAGGATGCCGCACCCCGCACAGCAGAGCCCCCTGCCCGACTCTTGACAGTCTGGCCTGATCCTGACATGGCACAACCAACACTGCCGTGTACCCAACCCTGGCTTACTTGTCCTGAGTCGCCTTGCCTTGGCCCTGGACCTGGATCTATCCCTGGACTTGGATCTACCCCTGGACTTGGATCTACCCCTGGACCTGGATCTATCCCTGGACTTGGATCTACCCCTGGACTTGGATCTACCCCTGGACTTGGATCTACCCCTGGACTTGGATCTATCCCTGGACTTGGATCTATCCCTGGACCTGGATCTATCCCTGGACCTGGATCTATCCCTGGACCTGGATCTATCCCTGGACTTGGATCTATCCCTGGACTTGGATCTACCCCTGGACTTGGATCTACCCCTGGACCTGGATCTATCCCTGGACTTGGATCCGGTTCTAGGGAGGAATGTCTGCACGCCGCTGGCTTCCAAGACATCTTTGCGGAGGTGAAGGCGGCGGAGAACGAGCGAGCCCTGGCGTTGTTGCCGGGAGTGCTCCGGGAGCTGGACGAGATGGAAGGGGGATTTCCGGCTGAGTGAGTGCGTGTATGGAGGGAGGTTAAAGGTTGGAGGACGTGCGATGGGGTCGCGGATCGATGGAAGGTCAGCGGGTGGAGCCCCTCCCGCGTCGGGCCCACACTCACACCGCCTACTCTGTCCGCTCCACTGGTTATCCTGCCGGGTCGACCGACCGTAGGCTGGAGCTGGCGCTGCGCGGCGTCTTCGCAGGCAACATTTTCGATCTGGGCGCTGCGGCGTCTGCGGAGCTGCACGCAGCCGGGGGCGGTACATTTGCAGCCACGCGCGCGCAGCTGCTGTCCCGGCCTTGGGCGGTCGATAACCTGGACGAGGTGCTTCGGGAGGCGGCTTTGCAGGGGCCCCTCGGTCTCGGTGAAGGCGGGAGTGAGGGCGAGGGGGCGGGCCCCCGGTGGCGGCAGGCAGCTGTGTTCGTGGACAACGCGGGTACGGATGTAGTCCTCGGGATCCTGCCGTTCGCACGTGTGCTGATCAAGGCCGGCACCAGGGTAAGCTGGAGCGGGTTCAGTGTTTCAGCAGGGTGGGGTGGGGCCGGAACTGCGCACACGCCGAAATGCAAAGGCGGGTTATGCGGCCTTAGGAATGTTTGAATGGGGATGCATGTGGATGTATGTATGTATGTGTGTGTGAGAGATGGTGATCTGGGTCGCCGCCTGCAAGAAGGCAGGAAACTGTAGAACGAACTTACGCATCACAGCGACTTGCTGTTCAACTAGCGAGCCAGCCATTCTGACATCCGTCGGCCCTTCCGTTCTCGCCCATCTACACTCGGCACCGCAGGTAATCCTGATGGCGAATCGCGGCCCCACCATAAACGACATCACCGCCAGGGAGCTGGAGCCCCTGCTGCTGAAGACCGCAGCACTGGACGCAGTGCTGCAGGGAGCCATCTCCTCGGGGCAACTGCGCGTAGTGTGCTCGGGAAGCGACCTGCCAGTCATTGATTTGACCAAGGTACGACATGGATCCTGCACCATGCATGGCGCACATCGCATGTGTTTCCTGGAGCTGAGGGTTCTGCCCCGCTGGCTGGCGAGCTGGTAGACCTCTTCTGTCTGTCTGTCCGTCAGTCTGTCAGTCAGTCTGTCTACCTATGACCTACCTTTTCGGTTCCCTAACTGAGCTGTCTGGCTCCGTTCCCTTGCTGGCTGGCTGGTTGGCTGGCCCCCTCGTGGGCGTGTGTTTGCGCTCGCCGTGTGCTGCTACCCGCAGTTGTCGCCGGAGGCCGTGGATGCGGCTGCTGAGTGCGACCTGATCGTGCTGGAGGGCATGGGCCGGGCCATTGAAACCAATCTACACGCCCAGTTCACTTGTGACTCGCTCAAGTTAGGAATGATTAAGCACCCCGAGGTAGCGGCACACTTCGGTAAACGGTTGTACGACTGTGTCTGCAAGTACGACAAGGGTGTACAGCAGGCTTAACGACACCGGACCGGAGTGAACGGAACCGCACATCGGTTGACCGCCGGTGGCGGGGACAGCGGTTGGGGGGTTATGGGGGTTGATGGAGGAGGCACTGCGGACCGTGATGTGCGAGGCTTGAAAGGGAGATATACAAGGGTACTGACGTATTGAGACTGGCATGTACTGCATGGAGGCTGGACTGGGAGGGAGAGCTACTAGGGAGGCGAGAAGGGTAACGGGTGGACGCGTGCGCGTCGGTTGCAATGAAGGGGTTAACCCCCCGGCGCTCCGCGCGGGCTTCATGGTCGCTTCGGGGGTTTCACAGACATGTTATTTTGCATGCGTTCGTTAGAGGGAGCGTGCTTGGACTTGGCGGCCGGGCCGTTTCGGGAAATTCATCGCTTTAGGCAGTGAGCCAGTTATGCGTCTAACAATGTGTGGCGTGCGTACTTCCAGAGGCAAGAGTGTGAAGTGTGTGGCTTGTTTTGGGCGAGGCCCCGGGCGCGAAGCGCCTTTTGGGACCCGGGGGCCCAGCCCCCCGGGGTTCACTGCTGTCAGTCAGTCAGTCAGTCAGTCAGTCAGCGTCGTATCGCATGATGTACTTGCATGCCATGCTTAAGTAAGAATTGTATTTGATAGCTACTACAATTCTGTATCGATTCACCGAAAGAATTAATGCACATGCGCCTGTGCGGAAAAATAGCTTTGGCTTTGGCTTCCCAGACGCCCCCGACATGTGCCGGCTTCAAAATTCGGCTCCGCAGGGCTCAGCCCATCCGTGCCAACTGCTCCTCACAAGGCTGCCCATGCATACATCTTTAGATTTGGTTGACATACACTGTACAGAGGTAAGTTTTATAACTTGGACCGAATTCAAAAACAAGTTTAGGATCCAATGCTCGTCATTTCACCTTGGCGTGAAATGACGAGCATCCCTGACTTCGCTATTCATACGCTTCTGTGCTCCTGTCTCCCTTAACCGTATTATCGTGGCGCTGCCAAATCTGGGGCGCTTGCTAACCGTGCTTGGAATGATTTAAACGGGAAGCGGGGAAACCACCTGCCAAGGGCCCTTACACTGCACAGACGCCTGCGCAGCGTAAAGGTCCAAGACTTTTACAGAATCGGCCCTGTTATGCATGCCGCTGCAAGCCTGGCGACAAGCTGCTGGTCGATGGCCGGGAGGCAGCAGTTGCTCCTCTGCATTTATCGCCAAGTGCCTTTATGGGGATCGTTCGGATTATCCTTGTTTGTCACAGTCGGTAACCCTACCAAACAGGTCGGGTAACTGGTCGCTTCGGTACCTGGCCGGTAGGTAGGTTAACCGACATAACGAGCTAACGACCCAGTAATGTGGGGGCCACCGACCGATAAGGTTACCAGTCGGTGAGGTAACCGACCAGTAAGATTACCGGTCGGTTATCAGTCGGTTATCGGTCGGGTACCGGGTCGTTATCTCGAAATGTTGGTCACCCTACCGACGCGACCGGTTGGGTTATAGCTAACCGGTCAGTTACCGACCCTTTCATGCCACAGGGGGTGCGGTGCGCATGCATGCTGTGATGCCCGCTGCTTCTGCACATGCTGCTTCGATTGCTGTGTGGCGACGCGGTGTCCTCGCTCTTTCCTTGGACTTTCTTGGAATAGCTACTAGTGGTGGCACCTCCCTAAAACTACCGCATGCTGCCGGTGACGTTCCGTGTGTCAATTGCTGTCCCGAATTACTTAATACTTCTGCCGGATAATAAATCCCTTCATAGGCTAGACAGCTCACAGCTTCTACCGAAGCATTTACGGCAGTTGCACGGCAACGAACGGCTTGATTGTGAGGCTCCGGGCCAGCTTTGCAACGCCTTCGGGATATTGCGTTGCGATACGCGACTCCTAACAGACCGTAGCCATGGATTCTGTAAGATGTGGTCGACCTACGACAAATTGGAACCACCGACGACAAGTGTCGCCGAAGCCAGGGCTGAACCGTGAATGCGTTTTTAGCCATATTAATATATATAGGAAAGAAAGCGCTCGTCATGTCAGGCGTGTTCGGCTTGAGGAAGGAACCGACTCTGCCATTACGCCATCAACAACCACACAGTCAAGGGCGATGATTTCGACTCTGTACAGCAATCTTAATCCACGAACACTCGCCCATGAACCGGGGACTGTGTGGGGTGCTACGCTTCTTGTGACAGGGACGACGGTTGGAGCAGGCATCCTGGCACTTCCAGCAATAACTCAGGTGCAGTAACCGAAAGTCGCACCACGGAGCATGTGAACTTATGTACATGGGGTGGGTTTGAAAGCACGTAGCCATTATCCAGCGTCGCTGCCTTTCGTCGACACCTAACACAGCAAGCACACCTGCAACATTTCCCGTCGGGGTGAGAGTGACGTACGTTGCGGCCAGTGGAATGAACACTTTCAGCGTAGGGACACGCACTCCGTATCACCGCCTTGGAAGCTTAACCTCATTCATTACGCCGCGAAACCACAACGTAACGAACGACCGCTCATCGCATCACCACCGCCGCACCGTCTCCCGCCAAATGCAAACAATTCCTCTGCTGCCCGCTTATATACCATTCACAACCACACCCTGACGTCACCACTTACCCTCCCGTTCCCTGCGATGTAGTCCCCCCATGCCGCCTCGTATGAAGGACCTTACCTGTGCGCAAACATCTAAAAGAAGGACGTCTCTCTTCCTGCCCTCTGTGCCTCTGCCTTCACCTTCCGCGCAAAGGAAGCCGGTTTCGCCGCCACCACCGGCACCCTGGCCGGCTGCGGTGCCTTCGCCATGGCCACCGGGCTGCTTATCGCCGAAGTGAACTTGAACGTGGTGGCTCGTCACGGCATCAGCAACGTCACCTTCGCCACCATGGCTGAAAAGACCCTGGGAACCACGGGAGCCTCCGCCGCCACCTTCCTATACATCTTCCACAACTATGCGCTGCTGGTTGCATGTGAGCGAGGGACGGGGTTGTGCACGCGGATGCAAGGGGGATAGCGCGGAAGGGAACCGATCCGTCTGGAAGGTCGCAGAGCTGACCAGTGCACTGACTGAGGCCTGGGCTGGGTTCCCTTTCTTCCCGTTTCCATAACTTACACGCTCTCCACTCACATTGCAGATGTGGCACGGGCCGGCCAGATTATGGCCTCCGCAGGCAACTTGACGCCGCTGGCTGGTGCAGCGTTGTTCGCGGTGGGCTTTGGCGGCATCTGCTACGCGTGTACACCCCGCCAGTTCGACCGCATCAACGGCCTGCTGCTGGGCTTGGCAGGCGCTTCTTTTACGGTAAGGCCTTGACTGAGTGAGTGAGGTGGCTAGCGACCATCTCGTAGAGCTGGGGGCCTCCGTAGGAGGCCGTATATTGCTTGCACATCAGGTGCGAGTGCGGTGGGCCGCTGCGGCTTGTGCATGCGCTTGTGCTTGTGCTGAACCTCCTGCATGCCTACCGTAGTGCCTGGACTGGGCTGCGTGCCAGATGTATTGTGTCCTGTTCTGTCCATCGTGTCTATCCTCTGGTCCTCATATGGTCGCTCTGCTCCGTTTGGTCGCTCTTCAGGCGCTTCTGGTGGTGGCTGGCTCTCACATAGACCTGCCGGTGCTGTCACGTGCTGACTGGTCCGCCGTACCGCCCACCATTCCCGTCATCGCCCTGGCCTTTGTCTACCATAATATCGTACCTGTGGTGGTGAACAACCTGGAGTGCGATGCCGCCAAGGTGGGTGGGTTGCGACCTGTCTCATAGACCCCTCTCATTCAGTCCTTCAGCCTACTGCTTATTTGGCGTTTACATGGATGGTGCTATTTCCATGGCGCTATGAGAGGGAATCAGATTGGAATCAGGTCGCCTGTGTTGCCATTGCCACACTTTGTTGTGCTGTTGCAGGTTCGGACTTCCATCGTCCTGGGAGTCCTAATCCCCGCCGCCATGTACCTCCTATGGGATGGGGCGATCCTGGGCTCCCTGGACAACTTGGCGGCAAATGCAGCGGATGCGGCAGCGGCGGATGCCGCCGCCGCGGCGGCGGCGACGGCAGCGGCCGCCGCTGCTACTGCGGCCGCGGCGGCTGCTGACGCTGCCGCGGCGGCTGCCGCCGCGGTCGCTGGCGACGCTGACGTCGCCGGCTCCGCGGCAGCGGTGGCGGTAGACGCCGCCGCAACTGCTGCGGCGGCGGCAGCCGCCGCAGCTGCCAGCGCCGCGGTCGCTGGCGTTGCCGAAGGCGGAGGCGGTGTTGTCAGCTCGGCGGAACTTACGGCGGCGCTGGATCCCCTGGCGCTGCTGCAGCGGGCGGGTGGGCCAGTGGTGGGGCCGCTGGTGCAAGTGTTTTCCTTCCTGGCGATTGCCACCTCGTTCACGGGATTTGTGCTGGCGGCTGTGGACTTCCTACCGGATGCCTTCAAGCCTCTGGCGGCAGTGCCCCGGGAAGCCAGGTGGGCGTGCACCAGTGCTCAAATCGTGCTGCCACCACCCCGTGGCCTTCTTCCTTACAGTTGGATTTTGCTGAATTTGTTGAATATCAAAGCTATAGGATGAGGTGAGGTGAGGTGAGGTGAGGTAAGGAGGATAAGCTTAACAGGACAGATGTTCACTACGTCGTTATTGTGACTTTGATCGGCCGAGGGCCTGTCAGCAGCATCGTATTGTTATTGTGTTAGGAAGCCAGAGGCAGTGCGTATCTGGCACCTCCTGTGACTTCTGCTTGCGTGAAATGGCACAGTTTTCAACACAGTCAATGACACCGATACGACTGTGTGGGTGTTGGGCTGTCAGCTCAATCCCCGTATCCCTTTCCCTTTCCCTTTCACTCATCCAATCCACTTCTTACAGGTACGCTCTGGTTGTGCTCCCGCCCATAGTGTTATCCACGGCGTCCCCCGGCATTTTCTTCGCATCGTTGGATATTGCGGGCACATACGGCGTCATGACGCTGTACGGCATGATGCCGGCGGCCATGGCGTGGATGAGCCGCTACGGCGAGTCGGGTACAGCTGAGTTGACGGTTGGGGTTACGCGGTATATTGCCAAAAACTTGCCAGCGGACGCTGCGGTAGCAGGCAAGGGCAGCGGCGAGCCTGACGGCGGCGGCGGCGGCGGCGGCAGTAACCTGGCGGGGGATGCGGCACGGGTAGTGGAGCTTGTACCCGGGGGTCCTGCAGTTCTGTTCTTGACAGGGGCCGCGGCGGCGGCAGTCATCATCAGCCAGTGGGTCCTCCCCTGAAGGGGCCGTCTTGCGGTTTTTTCCGGGTTATGTGGAGCCTAGGTGGTGGTCTTAACCAAAGTTGGAACAGGTGCCTCCAGTCCGCTCTGTTCCTGGGCGGCAGGACTGACTTACCGGGCAGGACACGGCAGTGAGCTATGCAAGTCACGAAGCCAGGTTTGGTGAGGATTACTGTGTGCTGCATGGCATTGATGGGCGATGATATGTAGAGGGGTAGAGGAAAGAAGGGGGAGAAGGAGGAGGAGGAGCGCGTGGTCGGAGGTGCGGCCTGAAGCGACTGTGGGCCAGGACTGTCCGAAGCTCCAATTAAACCGGAAACGCGTTGCGAAGACCTGTAAGGAAGGTGACGCATAACACGAAGACTGTTAGGTCGATTATTTATGGCTTGTCGTCATGTACATGTGATGCCACGCGAACTGCTAGGATATGATCCTTGTGTGCAGGAAGCGTGCAGAGAATTCGCGATTCGTTGCATGGCCTTTTTGATCAGTCTGCCTGGAACCCTTGGCGCACGCGGAATGGGCGCGATTTGGCCATGTACAGCCCGTGTACGTTTTAAACGGCGGATATGGGCCAGGGAGCCTGAGCAAGACGAACGTCCCGGGAGCGGCCATCCTAGCCTAGGCGGTGGGCTTTCTATGAAGCTTCCCGGTCATTCCCGGGCTACCAACGGAGCAGTGCCTGGCTTTTCGAGGCCCTGCCTGGGACAATTTCGGGAAGCACTTGCAGCGGGGCGTGGAGGCATTTCTTGGGGCTTGAGGGCGGCTCCTGTTTAGGGTTATGTCCAGGGGCACGGCCTAGGCCTCATGAATGGTTTTTCAGAGAGCCTTATACATGTTATTGATTGTTTGGTGCCTCCGATTTCGGGGTGCAATAGCGGAGGTCAGTACGCTAGTAGAGGAGCCGAGGGCTCGTTCCCTCCTTTATAGCTATGATGTGCGGAGCTACGGCCAGGTGCAGGTGCAGTTCAGCCGTTGTTCTGCTTTGTTTTCATTTCAATGTTTGACTTAAGATAAGATAGGGGTCTTCAATCAACACTTTTCAAGGGTTCGGGAATGGGCGAGAGGGGCGTGGGTGGAGCGCGCGCGGACGCACGGGACGTAGTTTTTCCAGGGTTGCCTATGGCATCGACAGGCCGCGTGCACAGGTGCACGGTATGCGGAAAATGCTTTCCCAACCGTGTACCCACACGCAATTCATTGCACTTCCGTCGGATTATTTCCAGGCGTGCCTCAAAGGCGCCTTGCTGCCAAGACCTGGAATCGTGCACTTCTAGCGCCGGCAACGCTTCCGCATTGTCTTAAGCGGATCAAGATGCTGTACTGGCTCGATGTTGCATGTGATATCACTGGGAGATTCACGCATGCAGGCTGACCTGCTGCTCGACTCCATTTACTGTACCCAATGTACCGCCCTTCCAGGACGTCAACCATATGAGTTATGAGTTATGAGCTTATTGGGATGTATAGCAGCTACACCTGCTTGGCGCACATTTTTCCTTGGGTTACGGTAGCAAAGGTCCCCTTGATTTGGCCATCTTGTGAAGGCAGGTCCCCCTCCAGGGCCCCGACGGCCGGGCCGTGAGGGACTGGGGTTCGAATGCCGGATTGGCCGTCATCCCCTATCGTTATGTATCGCAGCTGCTTACGCGGGTGTCCGGGTGCCAAAGAAAGGATACCACCGCGATGATGAATATGTCGCTTCCGTAGTCCCACAAGGCCCTCGTAAAGCACAACACATACAAAGTACGGTCCTACAGGTCCGAGTGTTCCTTCCAGCTCCTGTGGGGCAAAGGTAGGAGGTCCAGAGTCCACACATCCGCGCATATGCCCCCAGCTCCACAAAGCACGTTTCAGTCCGGCGGTCGTCCAACGCATCCCAAAGCACACGTCTCACATGCGCATGCGCGTGTGCACTCACAAAATCCAAAGTCCGAAAAGGAATTCGTCATATCCATAAACTGAAGCCGGTATACCTTGCCAAAAAGCGCACAAGGGGCACATGGCAGAACACCTATTGGAAGACGCAATAAATCCCTCTCCAACAAATCCAGTAATGAAGCAAGATGCTCTGCTAGTATTGACACGAACTGGTATCGTAGGGCGGTGAAGACAGTTACAAAGGTTCTCAGCCCTCAGCAAGCTGCGGGCTCGTTACGCGGGCTCACCGCAACAACTGCAGGCCTGTGCGCCTCTGACGGCCTCACCGCCTCATCACCAGGGAACAGCACCAGATAGATCCAAATCCGCACTGCGATATGCATGCATGGCCTGCCGCACCTGCCGTCCCGAACCTCGTCAAATGGATATGGCATTTTTGTTTCAAGCCAAACCGCGTGCCCGTTCCGCAGGCCTGCTGCTGGGGCCATGAACTAACGGCGGAGACTTGCAACAAGGCAGGTCACGGGTCCTATTCAACGGCTGTGGGGGTGCAACGGTGCTATCGGCGGTCGGAAGAGCGCCGAAAGGACTGAGAAGCTCTGTTGCTGCTGCTGCTGCTGCTGGCCAAGAGGATGCGAGTGTAGCCCCCCGCCGGCCATGCCCTGCGGACCGCGGTGTATCCCACCGCGAGAGTGCTCGCCGGTGCGGCTGTGGGTGCCGCCGCTGGTACCCGTGCCGTACTGTTGGCCGTTACTCCCCAGGTGCTGTTGGGCCATGTGGTGCGATCGGTGGTGGGCTGACTGGGGCCCCGGCGCAGCCGCGTAGGGAGGAGGAGCCGCGTTTGCGCCGCTGCCCGTACTGTGCGGGTAACGCTGCTGTAACGAGGTTGTACTCGGGGAAAGGCTTGGCGGAATGGGTGGCGACGGAGGGCGTAACACCGGCATCCCATATGACTGTTGTTGCTGTTGCTGTTGTTGCTGCTGCTGGGAGTTATTATGGTTACGGTTGTTATGGTGATGTAAATGTCGCTTGGACTGAACATGCAGGGCCGGCGGTGGCGGCGGCGGTGGCGGCGGCCTGGGCAGCGGAGTCTGCTGCTGCTGCTGCTGCTGCTGTAGCTGTGGAATGTCGCCTGACACAGTTGGTGAGCTTGCAGCGGAGGAGCCACCACCAACGGAGTCCAACCCGTAGGACAACATTGACCCAGTTTTGTACTGCTGTCGGTCTGTCCCGCTGCTGCTGCTACCGCCACCAGCTGCTGCTCCTGCTGCTACCTGGCTTGACACCGCCCCATTCTGCCGCAGCTCCGCCCTCGTGCACCATTGCTGTTGCTGCTGCTGATGCCCCGCCTGCAGATGCCGCTGTTTCTGCTGTTGCTGGTGGTCCCATTTGAGGAACTGCTCCGCGGTAACGCCCGCACACACCGTACCGGCGGCGGTGCTCGGCGGCAGTGGCGGCTGCTGCTGATGGTGATGGGCGTGGGGGTGCTGTACCTGCGACTGCGATTGCCGCCTCAAGTGTTGATATTGCGTTGATGTCGGTGAGGGGGGGCGCTGCTGTGGCTGTTGCCAGGCTGAAGTCGCTGTGTCCGCGAGACTGCCTTTGGAAGCCGAGCGCTGCGACGCGGCGACCCCCGTCGTGTTGTTGTTGTTGTTGTTGTTATTGGTGGTGGTAGAGGTGGTTGTGGTGGTGTTGGCGAAGGGCAAGAAGGTGCTGTAGGTCTGCCTGCAGGCCCTACATCGGGAGAACGCCTCAGGGGCTGGCGATATGTGATACAGTTACTGCTGCCTCGACTGCTTCCCCAAACCCGTTATCAACATCCCACGCACATGCATCACGTCTTTACCTATCACGACCAACCCAACGACAAAGAGGCCATGCCCGCAGCAGCATCACAAACTCACTCCTTGTGTTGTGTGCCTTTCTATGCGCCAATAAATGGCAAGTTTGAACCCTCCTCCGAACTCTAAAACCATAAAATGGAGCAAAACCGAGCAATCAGCCGTCCGAATCTCTCCCTCGAGTGAGGCCTCGAGTGTGGGGTGGGTGCGCCGGGTCCAGTTTGCCCTGCCCAGCTTACATGCCATTTGCCCTGACTGCTTTACGCACCCCGTATGTGTCCCCAATGACTTCACGTCCCCTGGCACTACCGGGGAGGACCCCGCTCCTCTCCTGAGGAAAGACCCTTGGGGGGATTAACCATGCACCTCCCTCACACCATATCACCACACTACCACGCATTGATGGTGCTGCTTAAATCTACCGCGGGCTTCCCCCCTCTAAAGGATAATTGACGGGTTGCGACCCCACGCCATAGCACCACACTTGCCTGCAGAACCACATGGGCATGCAGCCGTTGAAGGAGCCCAGCATGGAGCGCAGCGGGGCGACAGCGGCGCCCAGCACTCCGCCCGCCCACTGCATCGCGGGGGAGGGCTCCGGTCCGCATTGCGGGATGAAGTGCGCGTACAGAAAGGCGTCGTACCAAGACTGGTCGGGATTCGGCTGGCGGCCGGTAATCTGACGCGGGTGCGGACAGACAGACGTACAGACGCCATTCATCAATAGTTCTCAGCCATGCACCTAATACCGGCGAGTGACCAAGTCAGAACTCAAAAGCCCGACATGGGCCTTATAACGTCGTGTAGATGTTCTAGTTCTGGACACGTACATGGCGCAGATCAGCCCAACAGCATGAACACGCCGGAAAGCGCATACGGCAAGGAGGGGCACGAGGGTGAGGACAGCAAGCAGATCACTCCTCGGCCTAGGTGCCGGCCTATAGCTGGAAGGTAAGAGTTGTCCAGCGTTGTACAACACAACAGTGTGAAGGCCATATGCCGTTGCTGCGGGTTTCGGAGCTGGTTCCGTCTATAGCCTTCTCCGTCTAGAGGACAACACGACCCCATCGTGCATTTCAGTTTTGGGGTGAAGCACACTACTTCAAATTGCCTTCCGCGTGCGGGATCCACCACATCAGCCCCAATCGGGCTGGGAAAAAAGACAGAATAGCGCTTGACAGTCCCCGCCTGCCGCCTCCTTTTGGACGTACCAAGTGGTAAAAATTGGGCAGCCGAGCCATGGGCTGGTAACCAGACGTGCTGTACAGCCGCATCGCCGCGTCGTTGTACGATATCACGTGCAAGAAAATTGCGCGGCACCTGTGGCCGTGTGTAAGAGCGAGGATGTGAAGCGCGTAATCCTTGGGCCACAGGCGGAAAGCTTAGCATTGTCAGGAACCTCAGCGCAAAAGGAATCGAGCGCCGTGCTGCTGATTGGAGTGAAGTGAGCCCACATCGCGCCACTGGCAAAAGCACTCCCCTCCTGCTTGACGGTCAAAGTCGCGCTGCTAGCTGGGCACTCCCCTTAATGTTCCTCCACCCATCGACCTACCTAAGTCTTGATGCATGCTGGTGTACCAAACCCAGCAGGCTGCGTGCAATGCCGCACTGACGGCACGCCGGCACCACTCCTAACGTCAGGACGTACACGGCGCATTCGCCGTCCAGACACCTGGGGTTGAGCCCCATGACCTGCCGGTCCTGCAGTGGCCGCAGCAGCGGGGAAGGAGCGCGGAGGAGGGGACAGCACCAGCGAGTTAATGACTTGTTGGGAGGGTTCACCGCCAAGCAGAGCGGACTGCGATGGGTGCCATGAGGGCCCTGTGCTGGTCAACATGGGAGGGCGCACGTGATGCCGGTGGGGGTGTCGGGTGCCGACGACGCAACGAGCTCCGAGTGGTTATGCAGCCTTACTGGCGTGTAGTCCGGAAGTCGGAGAGCCCTATGCCAAAAGGGTAAGGGCGGAAACCTCCCGGGAAGGTGGTTTTTGCATGGGATGCCGGTAAACCAATGGTTGGCGTTCAAAGAGCCAATACTCTATATGTTAAATGCACGTTGACTCAACATGAATTGACTTGGAGCACAACTTTTGCGATCTAAAGTTTTGGGCCATGGTCCCGATGCGACGTCGTTGGTACAAGTGTGACAAGAGTGGATTTGAAGAGTGCCTATTGTGACCCAGAAACCCTGGATGCCGTACCAAGGGGTCACATTCGTACAAGTAGACCACCCGCGCTGTGACGAAGCCGACCAAGTGATCCCTGCCGTACTCGCTGTGAAAGGCGGCCCATGAGAATACCCTTTTGATACGTGGGGGTTTGGAACGTAGGGGAACGAAACCATGAACCGGGAGTTCACTGGGTAGTTACCAAGGTGCAACACCACACGACAGAGGACCTTTGGGTGTCGGTCCGCTTCCGTACCTGTCTTCTCCCGCAACTGCCTTTCTGAAGAATACTTCCTCATAATCGATTGGAAATAGCTCCCTGTGTATTGCCTGTAGATCAGACAGCACGGCAAGCTGAGACGAGCATGCAAACATTAAGACAGCTTGAACCAGTGTTTGATGCCTGCCTTTAAGGCATCATGGTCTGACTGTTGAAGTGGCCTATAATGCAAGTTCAACGGTGGATGCCCTTGATATAGAACTGTGTTTGCCAGGCCACCGGGGCTGCCTCCGAAATGGCCAAGCATTGCAGTTCGGTTGCAGGGCACATAGCAGGTTAACGTATGTTGTTGACACGAGGTGGCAACATGGCATAAGCCAGTTAACAGTAGAGAAAACGAAAATCACTCAGACGGGTGCAGTCATACCATCCCGCTGTCTGCTCTTTATATGAACTGATCTGACCCACTGATGCAATAGCGCTACAGGACTTATGAATAGATATCTTCCAATCCCTAGGGAATCTGCGAACATGTGACGTTTCGTGCATGAAATTTGCCGTACACGGCGAACAAAAACTGCGCTTCCTCGGGCAGTTCGCTACAAAGCATCCTGTAAAGTAATTTAGTTTTCGTTTAGGTACTGTTGTATGTTAGACTACGGTTAATATGGTTTGGTGCACCTTTGGCAGCCCCTGGGACTGGCTGCATCGCCTCTAAACCGATAGGGCAGCCTTCACCCAGCGGATCACGAAGGCCACGGATGCAAATAAGCCGAAGATATGGAGGGTTTTTACCCCTTTGCACAGGCAAACCTGTGGAGCGCCGTACCCTCCAACAACGGAACCCAGCATCTGCAAGGCGGCGCGGCGCATGGCGCGTCCCAGGGGTTGACGTTATCCGGGGTAACAGGCGGACCGGCAGATGGCGAAACGCCAGGCGTGCCGGGGCCGCTTGCCGACCCAACGTCCAGCAGCAACATTGCCGGGTACCCTGCTACGCTGCCCAGCGGCTTGTTCGCGGCTCTCGATGAGCTCGCAGCCGCCATCGGGTTCACATCCGGGGCCAACGAGCCGCCTGCCGTCAGTGCAGTCTCCGCCACAACGTATCCGCAAGCAAGCGCCGCACAACAACACCAAGTCCCGCCCTGCCCCACACATCCGCACGTGCAAGACGTGGTCCAGATGCCAAATAGCGTTCCGGCTACTGCTGCTCCTGCCACCGGCCCCGCCACTTACAGCACTGTTCTTGAATCAGGGGCTGGTCCTGAACCCGTAACGTCCATGCAAGGAACACAGCCGCTGTCAACGCTGCACCCACAGCCGCTGGCACAGCCGCCTGGCTTTGCCACAGGCGCACCAGCGTGGTCAGGGCACGACCTGGCTCCAGCCGCAGCCGCAGCTGCGGGCTCCCGACCCCTGGAGGTTGCGGTGCAACCTGAGCCCGCTCCTTGCTCCATAACGCAACCCTCTTTGCCGTCCCCTCTGGCATATCATCTGGAGCAGCACCTCCAGGAAACGGAGCTGCACCATGCGCAGGTGCAACTACAGCAGCAGCAGCAGCTACAGCTGCAGGGGGATTTGCAATGTTTCCAGGTAGGCGCCGGCGTCGCAACAACTGCGGCAGGGCCGTCGCTGGCAGCGCACCTATCGCCATCAACCCAGGCGGGCGATTCTGCACCCCAACAGCCGCCAACTCCAGCCACCGCCGCAAACACTGACCCAGCAGCAGCTCAACAACCGCCACCGGCGGTGCTTCAGCCGCATACCTCCCAGCAGGCCGCGGGAGAGCTCCCGCAGTCACAGCTCTCTGCACCTCAACAGGTAGCAACGATACCCGCAGCTTCACCACAGCAGCAATGCCCCCAGGCACTGCCGCTGCAGCAGGAGCCAGCGTCGGTTCAGCAACAAGCCCAGCCGCCGCCCGCCCCGGTGGCCCAGACCTTCAAAGCACCCACCATCGCCATGCTGCGGGCGATGAGGAACAACGCATGGGCCGCAGCCGCTGCCGCTCCTGCCCCAGCGACTTCCGCGCCTTCGTCGGCACCCGCAGGTGCGGATGTCATGGCGGGCGCCTATGTGCCTGGCACCTCCGAAGCAGAGGCGCACGCAGCCCAGCGCGTTGGGGATCCCAGCGTCCTGATCGCATCCAGCTCCAGCAGGCAGGGTGCTCTGCCGCCTCAAGGTCTCCTCCGGGGGGTCGTGCCGACAGCGCCGTCTGCTGCGCTAGCGGTATCATCCGCAGTAGCAGCGCCAGCCGGAATCGGAGCGCCAGCGGCAGTAGCTGTGCCCGCAGTGGATCCCTTCCACAGCACTGCCGCGGTGTGCGCTGACTCATCCACAGCGGCGTACGGCGGCAAAGGCCAGTTAGAGCCCGCGGCTGCCAAGGGTGTTGTGCGGGCGGCGCCTCCGGAGCAGCCGGGTTCCGTCGCGGCGGGGCCTGGGCCGCTTGCCGGCGCGGCGGATGCTGCTACTGCTGCTGCTGCCTCGGCCACTGCCACTGCTGCTTCCGCCTCCGCCCCAGCTGCGGCAGCGGCTGGTGATGCTGCTGGTGCGGGCTCTGGTGCTGGGGCTGCTACTGCCGGCGGGGGAGCAGATGGAGGGGCGGCGGCTGCTTTGGAAGGGCTGCCTTCGCTGCTGTCCTCCGACCCGGAGGAGCTCGCTGCGGCGATTGCAGCAGCGGTAGCGGCAGTAGCGGCGGCGACACGGGCGGCGAGTGAGATTAGTGGGCAGCAGGTTACGCAGGCCGACCAGCAGCCGCAACCGCAACAAGTGCCGCAGCTGCAGCCGCACATGGGGCAGCTGCAGCTGCATCAACTGCTACAGCCACAACAACAGCAGCAGCAGCAACCAACAGCTATGCATCAGGTGCTACTGCCTGCTGCACCTTTGGGCAGTGACGCGCATCTGCAGCAGCAACAGCCACAGCCGCAGCCACAGTACCCTCAGCAGCCACAACTGGTCTACGCCGCAATGCCAGGCTATGACCCCGCGGTGCAGCTTCACCTTCAGCAACAGCCGCAACAGCCGCAGCAGCTGCAGGTGCAGCTCGTACCAGCAGCTGGCGGTGGCGGCGTACTGCAGGTGGTCGCATTCAGCAGCGGCTCTGGCGGCGGCGGCCCTATGCCCCTTGTCCCGGAGGCGCTGCCGCCGGCTGCGGCAGCCCTCCTGGGAACCGGTCTGGCGCAGGGCCCTGCAGTTGCCCTCCAGGGGCAGACACACGCGCCATTGCAGCAGCTGCAGTACGGCGAAGTCGTCCAGATGGCTTGGCCAGCCCCTGGCGGCCAGGCCCCTCCGGTTATCGCATACAATGCTCCCGAATCCTTTCCATACCCACAAGCCCAACCACAACCACAACCGCAACCACAACTGCATCAACAGAATGAACCGCAACCACACGGGGCTTTCCAACCGCATGGCCAGGACCATGCGTATGGGTACCGACAGCAGGACGAGCGTCATTACCAGCATGGCAGGGACGACCGGCAGCACTTGTACGCACCGTACAACGAGTACGGCAACATGAACCAGCCGCCGCGGCACCAGCCGCCGCACCCCCAGTACGCAAGCAGTGCATCAGGCGCGTACGACAGGCCAGATGCGCCGCGGCATCCGACGCCGTATATTTATCGCCCGCCGGCCGCTGAGCCGCCGCCAGCAGACTCGCACAGTGCATGGCCCGAAAATGAACCTCGATCCCTTGGTGTGGGCTACGTACCGCTTAGGCGAAGGCCGCCGTCGACCCATCCTGTTGAAGGGTGGCGCACAACAGGCTACCGTACACGCCAGAGGGAACACCCTCAGCACCTGCTGTGGTCGCCGCCCCCGTCTGTTCTGTACACACCCACTAGGGAAGTGGAGGAGAGGAGCGAGAGCCCGCCGCCGGAGATGGGGCCCGGTGGCAGTGGCTGTGATGGCGAGGGCGAGGGGCCCAGGGAGGCGGAGCTCGAGGCCAGCGCGGCGGTCTCAGCAGCCGCCAGGGAGGGCGAGGGAGCGGCAGGGGTCGCAGCACGCGCAGCTGACAAAGTCCGCGGGAGGTCAAGCTCGCCCACTTCGCAGGAGGGCTCTCCGCCGCCGCCGGTGTTGGAACAGCCACGGGGTCCCAGCACTGCAACGGTGGCTGCGATTCAGCTAATAGAGGCACGTCGGAAACAGGCGCAGGCCAAGGAGCAGGCGGCAAAGGAACTGAGGGCGAGGGAGCTGAAGGCAAAGGAAGAGGAGCAGCAGCAGCAGCAACAGTTGGCGGCTTCAGAGCAAGGACCTGCCAGTACGGACCTGGTGGCCAAGCGGGCTGCTGCCACTGCGGTGGAACCGCCGCCCAAGGACGCCAAAGCACAGCAGGCGAAGGGGCAACTCCAACAGTCAAGACTCCTTGCGAGTCAGGATCAGCCGCAGGCAACGGCAGCGACAACTGCAATGGCAACTGCAGCGCAGCATCAACAGCACCAGCAGCAGGGGCAGGGGCAGGAGCAGGGATTACAGCAGGAGCAGGAGCAGGGATTACAGCAGGAAGATCAGGAGCAGGTGCAGGAAGACCATCCCACGGCGGCAGCAGCGGCGGCGCCGTCGACGATGCAGCGGCCGAGCCGTTCGGCTCCCTTGCGAGGAGCTCACGCAGCGGCGGCGGCGGCGGCGGCGGCGCCAGATGCCCTGGAACCTAAGCCCCTAGGTCGAAACAAGGATCAGGCACGTGCGGAGATGGACGCCGCTACGCAGGCAATGCTGGAGAAGGCTCGGCGGCTGAGGCAGCAGCAGCTGCAGGAGCGCATCCAGCAGGAGCGGCAGCGCAAGGAGCAGGAGGAGGCGCGGCGGCAGCAGAAGGAGCAGGAGGAGGAGAGGCTGAGGGAGAGGCTGAGGGAGAGGCTGAGCCAGCAGCAACGGGCCAAGGCCGGTGGCGGGACAGCGGGACTGGTACTCGCTAAGCCGCAAGGCAGCGCCGCCGCGGCGCTTGCGGCCAGGCTGGCAGCGGGGGGAAAGGGCGGAACTGCCGCCGCCAGTGCTGCTGCGGCGGCGGCGGCGGCGGCGGCGAGTACTCCGGCCGGTGCTACAGACGCAGCCGCGACGGCGGAGCCTGACGGCAACGCCGTTGCCAGCGGCAGCGGTGATTGCGGAGCTCTTAATGAAGCGGAGCTGGAGGAGTTGGAAGCGGACCTGGAGGCGTTGGAGCAGCAGATTGCGTCGGCTCCCACGTACGGCATGAATGCGCGTGCGCTGGTGCTGCGGGCCGCGGAGCTGGTGGCAAAGCGCGAGGCGGCAGCGCGGCCGGCAGGGACAGCCGTCGCAGCAGGAGCAGCAGCAGGAGCAGCAGCAGGAGCAGGGGCATCCAAGCCAGGTGCCGTGCCGGCAGCAGGTACACTGCACCGTGCGTGCTCCGGGATTGGGGAAAACACAGAAGATGATATTGGGCGCGGGGAGTACATCTCTAAACGGAAACCGAACATGCAGGTGACACTGTGGCATGGTGGGGACTTGAGGGCCTCGGTCACCTGGTAAACGTGTGATGCTGAACGAATATGGTGAAAAAGGCCCCGGTAATCCTGATACCTTTGAAGCCTGTCTTGTCTCGTCTACCTGTATAAGAAATAATTTTTATTAAAAATACAACTGAGCCGCAGCTTTTTTTTGTGTGTGTGTGTGTTTCTATGCTTGTGTCATCACGGCCTGCCTTGCTGCAGACCCGGCCGCCGGGCTTATCACCGTCGTCAAGCCGCTGGCGGACGCCGTACCGGTTCCAGAGCGGGCGTTCGTGACGTACGTCCCGCGCTCGTCCATCCCGCGGCTGGTACGGCAGGAGGCGGCGCACTCCCTCACAGGCGGCTATCTGGCTCTCGCCCTGCAGCGCGCGCGGGTGCCTGAGGCCCGGGCTGTGCAGGTCAGTGGATAGTAGTGACACCCCCTCCCCCTTCCCTTAGGAACAAGCTTGGCCCCCGGATGATTGGGTTTGGTTGGGTCGGAACGAGGTCGGTTCCTCGCATATGAATTCCCCCTCCCCTCAGGACAGCTTCTTCACAACCGCCGTTGGGTTAGTTCTGCTACCGTCCTGTACATCGGCCTCAGCAGCAGTCTCTTTCCTTGGCATCAGCTTCATTCGCTCGTGGTTCGTCTTTCCCCCGTTCCCCCATTTCCCCCTCTCCCCCCCCGCACCACTAGGCCATCGCTAACGAGCCCGAGCTGCGCAAGGTCGCCGTAGCTGCCGCCGGGCAACACGAAATGGCGATTTACCGCCAGGTCACTTCCAAGATGAGTTACGAGCTGCTGTTCAGAAAGGTAAGGAAGGGGTAATGTCAGTCAGCTGCACCGACAATCGCGAAAATCTATGGGGGTGAGTTTTTCAACAAAGGCGAAGGTTGCTGCTGTTGCTGCTGCTGCTGCTGCTGCTGCTGCTGCTGCTGCTGCTGCTGCTGCTATGGCTCCTGCTCTTTCCCGTGCCAGTTTCCGGTTGCGCTGTTCCGTGGCAGTGTGGTGCGACGTGTTGGGACGGGGGCATATGGGGGGGATTGTAGGCCGAGGCAGGAGTGGGGCGTGACGCGTTTGACCTCAGCGTCTGAACGTGATGTGACTTGTGACTCGGCGACACAGATGCATTTGCGTGCATTTGCATTTCGTGTATTCGCGCGCAGCCCGCTGCCGTGTGCGGTCACAATTTGGCTCCAACACCCCTCTGCAGACCAAGGCGGAGCCGGAACGGCTGCAGATGTCTGAGGAGCTGGTGCAGCTGCTGAGGAAAGAGTACGGCAGCGGTGGTGCGAAGGGTAAGTCGCCGTCACCGTCCGGCGGTCACGCCGCGACAGCGGCGGCGCCCAAAGCGACGCCGGGTTCTGCCGCGTCCAGGGTCGCGGCAGCTGCACCTGCTGGCGCAGGCGGTAGTGGTGGCGGCAGCGGCGGCGGCGGCGGGTCAGTAATGGCCGGCACCAAGCGCCGTCTGGCTTCCGCGGACGGTACAGCAACGTCAGCAGCGCCGGTGGCTGGGCCTGCAGCCAAGCGCGTGGCGGTAACCGCAGCCACCGCCGCTGGGGGCCCCGCCATGGCAAAGCCTGCTTCGAGGGCCACAGCGGCGGCCGCTGGCGTGGCAAAAGTCGGGGGCCACACTGCGGGACGACGTGGCGGCGGCGCCGCCGGCGATGGTGGGTCCAAGGCGGCTGATGCGGCCGTGGATGAACTCTTTGCGAACAGTGACTCGGGAGATGAGGATCGGCCTAACCATCGCAACAGCGGAAGCGCCCTGGGCGATGCGGCGGCGGCCACCACGACAGCAGGGCCTGAGGGCACGGATACGGCTCTCAGTGCTGGGGCCGCCAAAGCCGCAATGACAGCTACTACAACAGCATCGCCTACAGTCGACAGCACCGTGGCTGCGGCTACAGCCGCTGCAGCTCCTCTGCTGGCTGCCGCCACCCGAGGCGCCGGCGATGCCGCAGATCGGCTTGGCGGCGGCATCAGCGACGGTGGCGAGGACGCACCTGATGCGTCGTACGAGGATCTGTTCGGCTCGGACACGGAGTCGGGCGAGGACGGCACGCGGACGACAGCAAAGCAAACAACTGAAGATGCACCGAAACCTGTACCGCAGGCCGTGGCCCCCGTGGCGCCGCAGGCTCGCGCTCTTGCTGAGCCTACCACAGCTACTGCCGGGGCCGTGGCGACCGTTCCCGCCGGCGGGGCAACTCCTGTCCGCCACGCAGCTGCGGTCCAGTCGCGCGCAGCGGCAGGCCTAGCTTCCACTGCCGTTGCGACCGTCCAAGTCGCAGAGGGGAACGCTGGCAGCGCCAGCGGTACCGCCACTGCCGGTGGTGGTGACGCTCGGCTTCCGAAGCGCCGGCGGATAGATGAGGGCGGCGCCGGCAGTGATGGCGGTCGCGTCGGAGGCGGAGATAACACCGGCAGTCGCGGCAGGGGAAAGAGCTCCGAGCGGGACTCGAACCGTCACGACCACCGGCGGGAGAAGCACCGCAGCAGCCGCAGCCGCAGCCGCAGCCGACCTCGCGACGGGGGTGGCGATGCAGCGGCGCGGGAACTGGAGCCCCGAGGGTCCGGCGGTGCGGGCCGGCAAGGCACCGGACCCGAGGGTCAGCAGGTGCAGCAGCAGCAGCAGCAGCCGGCGGTGGTGGTGACGGGTCCGATGTCCCGGGGCGCTATGTCTCAGGAAGAGTGGGAGCAGACCGACGTCCGGCAGAAGTTGCGGCAACAGGTAGTCGCGCTTGGGGGCCGCGTGCGTTCCCCTCCATCGCCTTGCGGCTGAAAAATGCGTTCATAGAATTATGTTGTTGTTGTTGTTGTTATTAGGGAATCTTAGGGTCTGTCACTGTCGCGAAGACTACCCGGCGGCTGTATGTCCAGGGGTAATAGCCAGGACGCCGAGCTGGGCCTGCATGCAGCCGTGTAATGGGGTAGGCTTCCGGGCAGGGCTCCGGTGGTCCTTGTTGTTCGCAGTCTCCCCCTAGCCTTTAGGTGCAGGTGCAGCTGCAGGTGCAGCTGCAGGTGCAGGTGCCCCAGAGGGGTAAGCAGGGTAGGAATGGCCCCATACCTCTCCGGGGAGGGCTCTCAACCTGCGGCGAGTTTACTCATTGGAGCCGTTATGGGGGAGGAGCTGCGGAAGCTTGAGAGCCCTGCTTCCAGGGCCGCCAGGAACACACTCAGGACGGCTTTTGTTTATTCCTGGAGTAAGGGCCGTTCTAGTTCTAGTTTGTGCCCATTAATTCGCGACATGCGGCGGCGCTGTTATCCTGACAACACACCTTATTGCCGCAGTCATCCCGCTGGCATGGCTTTGGGTTTCCCGCCCCTTCCCCCGTTCCTCCTCCCGCCCTTCCCCCCGTTCCTCCTCCCGCCCTTTCCTATCTTCCCCGTCTCCCACGCCGCCCGCACCCCGACCACCGAACCCCCCCTCCCAGGTGCTGGCCTTCATCCACGCCACCCTGGAGCCCCTGTACAGGGCTGGTCTGCTGGGCAAGGAGTCGTACAGGCGGGTGGCAGCTAAGACCAGCGAGAAGCTGCTGTCCGCCCACCCGGATGACACCACAGCGGACTTCCTGGTCCGGGAGCATGCACATGTGGGTTTCAATGGATGGGGGTGCAGGGTGGATGGATGGGTGGATGGATGGGTGAATAAGAGAACGGGGGTTAAGGAGGGGCAAGGGGGCGGGTGTGGTTGGAAAGTAGCTTAGTGGATGAGAGCCTCATGTCTCCTTAAAGGGGGAGGGGACATTTGAGGGTGGGAGGGTGGGAAGGTGGTTTCGGAGGAGGCGAGCTTTAGAAGGGGGGTGGGGATGAGGTGTAAGGCGATTATGTCAGTCATCAGTCCTGGCGTATGGGGAGGGGAGGCGGCTATACTGGGATGGGTAAGGGAGTCCGTGGGGCTTGCTTGTTCGGATTTCTGTGGCGCCTTGTAAGCGGGGTTAAGTCCGGTTTGAGCTCTTGGCTCATGGGTGATGCCTGCGGTGACACGCACGCGCGTGCACACACAGGTGGCGACACGTGGATGACTGGCGGCGCATTTTGATCCCCTTCCGTCTGTTCTGTTAGCCAGTTGTCGAGTTGTCGAGTTAGCCAGTTAGTTTCTTTTGTGTTTTTGTGTGTCCTCCTACCCCGCCCCCACCCCCGCGGTGCGTCCCCCAGGTCAGCAAGTTTATCATGAAGGTTGTGGAGAGGGAGCAGCAGCGGGATGCAGAACGGCAGCAGCAAGAGAGCCAGCAGCAGGCCAAGTAGCATGCAGCAATCGTGTGAATCAGCCATCCAGGTATCCGGCTGGGTACCCATCCATGTGAAGCACGCCGACGGTCGCAGGAATGCGTCACATGTCGTGAGGTGTTCATAAGACCACTGGTCCTCGATGGCGAGGCATAGAACCTTTTTTTGTTTCGGTCGCCATTGGCAGGCTCTTTCCTTGAGAGTCTTTTAGGTCAGCACGACGCCTCCTTATCCCCGAGGAGGGGGCCGATATCGCGGTGCGCGCCCCGTCTATCGCCCGACGGGGAGGGCAGCTCTAACCCGCAGCGTGTGGGGGGGCCCTCCAACTGGGCTAAACGTCAGCACGACGCCTCCTTATCCCCGAGGAGGGGGCCGATATCGCGGTGCGCGCCCCGTCTATCGCCCGACGGGGAGGGCAGCTCTAACCCGCAGCGTGTGGGGGCCCTCCAACTGGGCTAAACGTCAGCACGACGCCTCCTTATCCCCGAGGAGGGGGCCGATATCGCGGTGCGCGCCCCGTCTATCGCCCGACGGGGAGGGCAGCTCTAACCCGCAGCGTGTGGGGGCCCTCCAACTGGGCTAAACGTCAGCACGACGCCTCCTTATCCCCGAGGAGGGGGCCGATATCGCGGTGCGCGCCCCGTCTATCGCCCGACGGGGAGGGCAGCTCTAACCCGCAGCGTGTGGGGGCCCTCCAACTGGGCTAAACGTCCATCCGGGAGTCCATCTTTTTGCTTCATAGTGTAGATAATTAGCAGGCGCGGGTGAGCTCATGTCCCATGATGAGCAGTTAGCTAGCGAGCAATGCAGTGTGTGCAGGTTGTTGCAGGCCAAGAACTCCGGATGTGTCCGTCATCCGTTCGGTGCCTTAGCTTCCTTCATCGTTTGGCGCTTGGTGTTGAGTTGTCGCATTTGAGTGTGAGGTTTGTGGGCTGGATCAGAAACTATGCTTGGAAGTGCTGGACTGGGTGGGAACAGTTTTTTGGCTGGATAGCGGGTAAGTGGTACGGCTTATGTGACAAGGGCTGCTTGGGCGCTAGGCTGCGCGCACGGGGGAAGGAGTGGATCGTAGAGGATTGCGTGATGAAGGACAGTTATTTTGTTGTGGAATTAATTTACACAACACGGTGCTGGAGATGCGAAAGCAAATGTATTCCTGCCCTGCCCATTCGAAACTGGTCAAAGTACAGCACATCTAAGAAGCATGGCCCGAGAGGGTTCATAATGGACAGCTTACATAAATAGAATGCTACTCGCGCTTTTAGCGTGGCTTTTAGGATGAGCTGGCTCTTAAGCATTGGCCAGGACCTTGACTTGCTTGTCACCAATCGGTGGTAACCCTACCAAACAGGTCGGGTAACTGGTCGCTTCAGCACCTGGCCGGTAGGTAGGGTAACTGACATAACGAGCGAACGACCCAGTAACGGGGGGGTCACCGACCGATAGGTTACCGGTCGGTAAGGTAACCGGCCAGCCAGGTTACCGGTCGGTTACCGGTAAGGTTGTCGGTTGGGTACCGGGTCGTTATCTCGAAATGTTGGTCACCCTACCGACGCGACCGGTTGGGTTATAGCTAACCGGTCAGTTACCGAACCTAAGGGTTCCGGTGTGCAGCATGCTGCGGTGCCTGCTGCTTCTGCACATGCTGCATGCTGATTGCTGTGTGGCCGCGCGGCTCCCTTGCTCTTTCCTTGGACTTCTTGAAATAGGTAAAGCTCAACTCAAGCCCATCCATGCCAACTGCTCCAGCGCTTCGTCCTTGCCTTCTGCTCCGTCTCACACACATCTCAATACATGTCTTATTCTCCAGTTCGACTGGCAAAGGGGGCCTGGGTTCGCGCACTACCAGGAGGCTATAGATGCTCAGCCGTTCTTCCTCTTCGATGGAGGCGCCGCGCAATGCACCGTCCACGGATTTGCCTTGGCGCCTTAGCAGCAAGTGAATACACCTGATTCGTACATCACTCCAACGCCGCCGGATCTCTCAGTTATCCGTAATAGTGAGCGTGGAGTCCAAACACGACACCATTCCTCCGCTTGCAGCCCAGTGCCGTACAGCCTCCTCTGCGGAATACTGCGGGGTGCCTGGCTGTACCGGGGCCGAGGGCTTTTCGGCTTCGAAGAAGCTGGCCACCTTACCTCATGTGCCACACACGCATATTCAGGCTGTCTGGCGGACGTTCAGTTGGTGTCTGGATGTGACTTCTGGAACTTGTACCACCTGACATGTCCGTGTGCGTCGATGAAGGTTGCTCGAGGTATTTGCTGCTGAAGCGCAATTAATAAACACCATTCTTCGCCGCCTTCTTCTTTACAACATGAGAGATACACGCACCCTTTGCTCCACAACATAACCGCCCTCCTAAAACTCTGATCCCTTCTTACCCAACGGACAGGAGCATCGATCAAACCACTTCCTGTTCTCTCCCAACGATAGCCATCCATTACCAACGGGAGCATTATTCGGAAGTCAACCGGTTCGTGTTATTCTCCAACAGCACTGTACATCAGGTGTGAGCCGTCCAACTTGTCCCGCAGCTCGGAAAAGATGCCGTAGCACTCCTTTAAAGCATCTTCGCAACGCTGCATGCATCCAACGTCCGCAACACCTTAGCTGGCTTCTCAGCCGAAAGCTCGACCTGCCTGTCAGCACACAGCAGCTTAACTGCCGAACGCGTACGCCGACTGCTTGCCATTCCCCAGCACCGGGAATGTTTCAACCAACCCACAAAACATCATCGTCCACGTCACCTCCCGTCCATTCTCTCCTCCCTCCTGATCGCTTCCTCAGGAGATGGGGATCTCGCGGACCTTGGGCGCCGGTTTGGCGGCCTTCGGGATGCGCACGGTCAGCACACCGTGCTGCGTGTTGGCAGTGATGTTTTCCATGTTCGCATCATCAGGCAGCTGAATGGAGCGAACGAAGGAGGCGTAGCGTCGTGTGCCGGCCTTAACCGCGCCCTCCTTCCCCTTCTCCATGCCCCCTTCACCCTCGCCCTGCTCCAGAGAACCCTCCTCGAGGGAACCAGTCATCGTCAGCACGCCCTCCTCAGAGACGGAAATCTGAGGGGCACGGCAGCACAGGACCAGAAGAACAGGCAGAGCGGGGTGGGTGTTGGCGAGATGTCGTGTTGTAAAAAAACAAAACATGTATGTTGTAAACAAACAAAACATGTTTAAAACAGGCTGCCTTCAATTCAACTCAAAGTTATGTTGATAATTTTAACCACCCATAATACTCTAGGATCATACATGTCTGGTTGTGAAGGGAACTATGGTCCAATGAAGCAAAGCAGGAGTCAGAGACGAAGCCTGTCGTCCTTCCACACGTGGGCTATCACGCCGGCTATTGAGGTCGTCCACCTGCGGCGGTGTCGTTCAGATGTTTCACGTATGACCAGCGGCTTCCCCACCCCGACGTGCATGCAACTTGCATGCCCTATTACCCGCCTCTCGCAGGATTGATGCACGCCTAGCTCCCTTCTGCCTGCCCCGCTCGAGCACCGCGAGCAAGGCCGTAGGCCTCCCTCCCCCCCCAGGAGGTAGTCAAAAACGCACCTTGATTTTGTTCTTGTCGAAACCCGGCACCTCCGCCGTCACCATGTAGCTCTTGTCGTCCTCCGACACCTCCAGCGGCACCACACGACCCAGGGCGCCGGCGCGGCGGGTCACCAGCGGGGCGGCCGCCCGGTCAAACATGTCCCACGGGTCGGTCGCCAGCATTGAGGAGGGCATGCCGAAGGCTCCCATGAGTGATTCCATCTCACGCTGCATCTGGAGCATCTGATCCGCCATGCGCCTGTATCCGTAATGAGGAAGGTCGGGGGATCCACGTCGGCGTGTGGCGGCGGTCAAACGCCGGTTTCCGATGCGGGAAGGGCTGAGCTTCAGGGCTTTGCTTATTGCAACACAGCTTAGAGGCATGTGAACTGCCCTGCCGTTCATATATAGTAAATCTGTGACCCACACCTATTCCACATATCATACATTAACTCTGTGGCGGGTGCCGTGCAGTGCAGTGTGGTGTTAAGAGGGTATGGTGCGATGCGGTGACATCGGCATGGCTGCGATGTCCTTTATGTTGCGCGGTGGTGCAGACACTCGAAGCAGATGTAATAAGCCACCAATCGCCAGCATTGGCGCGCTTCTGAATCGCTGCACCAGACCCGCAGCAGAAAGACCTTTTTAACCGGGTGCAGCTACAAACGGCTCAATTAGCTTAGCCCATCCTGCTGGGTTAGGCTGCGGTGCGGTGCGGCGCTGTGCGGACGGATGGGCGTTCAGCCGAGGCTCAAAAACTCGCACAGTCACATTATCGCAAAACGCGTGCACCGACCTCCCCAACGAGGTCACGGGGCACATGCCGCTCCCGGGTGGGGCAGACCCTGGCAGACGCCAAGCTGACTTATCGGACCTGGCGGCCCTGAAAAGACACCCCATCGCAGGACTTGCATCCACGACACGCTAGTTTAAACGCTTACATGTACGAACATGGGAACGCCCGCACTCTCGGAGGGGAACGAAGCGTGGACTCACTCACCTGAACGGCGTCGGCATCATCGTCCCAAGGGGCATCATGCTCAGGTCGCCGCTCTGTTGGGGGGTCCGCGGCTGCAAGCCGCTGGTGTGTTCGGGCTGCTCGGATTTTTTCTGAGCACCTGCATCCTGCGGCTGTCCGGGCTCCTTTTGGGCACGCGACAAGATGGAGGCGAAGGAGCGGGCGCCAGGGGCGATAGGAGCAGCCACAGGCGCCGCAGTGACTCGGCGAGCAGACGAGGCCGCGAAGAGCGGGCGATGGGATGCGGTGAACAACATTGCGACAGAAGACTTCCTTACAAACGGAGCAACACGACCAGAGAGAGAGGAAAGGAACATATCACAACAATGCGGACTGGAGATGACCAGGTTTTGTGTCAGTTATATGCGCTTTGCTGTGGGTGTAGATGCTTTCAATTTCGCTTTACTTCTGCCCTACAATATCCGAAGTACCTTGGATATATAATTTCGAGGGAAGTGGCGAGCTTGTTCGCGACATCTCGCGAATCCTAGTCAGCTGTCTTCAGTACGTAGTCCGGCAAGTCCCAGTATACGCACATCGTGAAACCTCGAGAAAAGAACTGAGAGCAACCTTGACGCAACATTCACATAGCATGTCGAGGTTTTCGGATGCAATACGAAAAGCAACGTCACTACGATCGCTAGTCTGCCATATTCATGCGGCGACGTCCTCCGAGACACTAATTTAAAGGAAACCAAAAACCTGCATATCCGATCACTCGTGCTTGGCTGGCAACCCCACGGGTCGCAATTCCGACAGGAGCGCGATAGCCTCACAGCTCCCACAGCATTTCCGAATCAGAGAAATGTCAGCTGCGCTTGAACCACAACAGCATTTGTTGTCTCCTAAAAACATTATGTCATCTCCATGAGCGTAGTGGCAGTAGAGTTTGCAAAGTTACACTAGTGTTTCCACATTAGTAATGTCGGAAACCAAATTTGGCAGACAAGTGATAGATGCAAGTGGCCTAAGCAAGCGCATCACGCGAAGTAATAAATTGCTTGTATGATGTGCTCCAAAACGAATCACAGCTGTTGCTCTTGATGCATATGACATTGTTGGTAAATGGGGTGTCGACATTTACGTCACAGCCATTCTAACCAACTATCGCAGTAACAGGTTTGACCGGCTTACAATTAAATCCTGTCCAGGTCAAGTCCTATGCAGGTCAACTCACCCCTGATCTCTACGGACAGCAGCTGGAATGTGATCGAAGCGTGCATTTCTTTGGTGCATGTCTACGCGAAACATTTGCAGCGACGCAGTTTTAATCTTATCCAACCTTTTATGCTGTAAGATTTTGCTCTTTAGCCTCTTGTCCATAGTTATAGCAATGGCACTTTCCGCGACCGTGCCCCTGGGCACTCAAGTCATGGCCACCAGCAGGTTAGCCATACTCAAATGTACAAGGCCTGTGTTGCATGGTATGGTCTTTCGTTAACTCCCTTGCCTGCCTTCACGGCTAACCTGCCTTCATAACTTCACGCACATAAAGCCCGCATGCACTGAACGGGCACGTCGCGCTCCCGTCGAGCGTTTGCAGGGCAACCGCCATCGCCATTGTTGCTGCCAGCATGGTCGTCCCACGCTACATCCATGCTGCTTCTTCCTCCGCCAGCTCCGGAGCCGCCACAGCAGAGTCGGCGCCGGCTGGCGCTAGCATCAATGGCGTCAGAGGCAGCAATGATATGACCACCCGCGACCCCAGCGCTTCCCGGCCCGACGAGAGCGATCGCCCCAGCGAAAGTGTCAATGCCGCTTTTCGCGACGTCATGCTTACCCGCCTAGCAGCGCTAGAAAGCGAGGTACAGCAGCTGCGTGCGGCGGGGAGCCGCCAGGCTGGTGGAGGTGACAGAAAGATGGGGCTGCAGCAGGGTCGGAAGGCAGCAGATGGGGGCACCCAGGAACACGTGGCGGCTGCGGCTGCGCCAGGTGCGGAAGGTGTAACTAAGGGGAAGGAAGCAAGCGGCGGTGACAACACAGGCAACCAGGGTAGCACGACGGAGGCGGTAGCCGAAGAGCTCTCTAAGCTGCACCCCAAGATCGTCCGGCTGGTGCACTCTGGTGAGATAGACGGGATGCAGGAGCCAGAGCGGGGGCTAGCTGGATGTCTGCTTGTTGGGGCAAATGTGAAAGGAACCGTAACTTCTGTGCCAAGCGGGTGGGATTGGGTAGCTCATGCAGTCTGGAAGACCGAAACTGCTACAAGAGGTGCACTGTTCCACTGTCCTGCTGATGCGTTCCTTGTTCATCCATCTTCCTCCTACCATTTCGCGCGGCTGCCTGGGGGCTGTTTGACTTCCTACCCTAGCCGCCGGCGCACCAACCTACCTATCCTCCTCCCCTTCCTTCCTTATACTATCTTCGTGAAGGCTACTTGGAGTCGCTACACCACTTGCGCCAGAGGTTGATGGTGGATGAGTGGGAGGGTGGTGGCCGGCAGCGGGCACTTCAGCGCGGTGTGGCAGAGTTCGAGGGACAGTGGGTGGAGAAGAGGGTGGAGCTGGGCTGGGAGGAGTGGGAGGAGCTGTCACAGCTGTACAAGGTACGGTAGGGAATGTGGGGTCGGGCATGGAACGGGGGTGAAGGAGAGGGCTGCGGTGACTAGGGGCGCTGTCGAGACGGGGCAGTGGCTGATAAGGACAAGGCGAAAGGGTCGGAAGCCGCTCCTGCGGGAGAGCAGTGACCAGCAGAGGAGGGAGGGAGGCGAGGGAAGGAGGCAGCTATTGCGTATTGCTGTGGCCACATGCCTCGTGGTGCGGATGCAAACCTCACCATTGTGTCGACGTTGAAGTCGAAGCGCCCAACTGAGGTGCGGGGTTTAGACAAGGGCCAACACAGCAGCTCCGGTGTCACACACCCGGGGTCAGCAACCCCCATTGATGACTCTGTTCCATGATCGCTTTCATTATGTACTCACCCGCTTGGGCTGCATTTCACCCTACATGAACCCTAAAGCCCTCTACCCTCTTCCCTCGCCCACCGAGGCTCCTTCTCCTCCTTCCCCCCTTCCCCGGCTTCCTGGCAGGATCCCGAGAACCTGGAGGTGATCCGTGACCCACGGGTCCGAAGTGCAGCGCGCGCGACGCTGCAGCGCGTGTTGGATGAACGGCACGAGAAGGTACGGGAGGCAGCCACGCATCTCGCCAAGGAGCTGGCTGACGGAGTGGCCAATGGGCCTGGGAACCTCATCTCAGGGCTGTTGGGTCTGCTGCCGTTGCCGGGCTTCCTCAAGGGCAAGTGAGGAGCTCAGCGTCAGGATTGGGAAAGAGCAATCCCTGGAGTATGAATGGAAAGTGAGGCTGGAGCGGCTATGCGTTCTTGTCAATTCCGCTTGCCATCTTCAGCTGCAGATGAGAGCGGAGGTCGTACACAGCGGATAGGGATGGGTGGTGTGCCATGGGAAAGGTGATGGGATGGGATGGGATGCCGTGGGGTAGGTGGTGTGCAGGTTACCTGCCGAGGCAAAGGCGTGGGGGATTGCCTGGGTGGTTGGTTTGATATGGTAGCTTGTTGTTGTTGTTGTTGTTGGCGCATTTCAAGTAGTAATTGGTAGGCAGTAAGGTGGGTATGCAGGCTGCGACCTTCTACGCGGCCTTGGCTAGGCGAGCAGGTGCAGTGCAGATGATAGCCGTGGGTGGAAAAACCTATCTGGGGTAGAACACGGCGCGTGATGAGGCCGTCAAGGCTTGCCCTTGTACAGCTACACTGTCCAGAAGGATGTTATTCCAGCATGAAACCCAAAGGATCTCTTGTAAAGCAGCGAGTTCCTGATCTCCTTACCCTGCGGCCATGCTATTGATGTCATCACAGGTGCATTGCCAACACTGATGCAGCCTCCAGTCCCGTCCGGATGTCCACCAATAACCAGTGCCAGGGCTGCACCCAGGGAAAAGTCCCTAGGGAGAAAGTCCCGGCAGTGCTGAGAGCAGCACCACGCAGACGGCATCAAGGTGAAGCCGCAGCCCCGCCCTGACCAGGAAGGCCCCTGCTGCGGTCAATCCTAAGGAAGACGGCTCGTATGGTGAGAAAGATCTGAACACAGAAACACAACTGCAACACTGACGACATCCCTTTCCTGGCTCTTCTGCATCTGGCCAACATGCACATGTACCACCCCGGCCGCACTTCTGCAGTCGATCTCCTTACGCTCCACCGGGCCGAAGCACACGCTGTTTAGTGCCCCCTCATACTTCTCACCCTGTTGAGTAATCGCGATGCAGAGCGGCACCGCCTCCTCTGTATTGTACACTGTTCCAATCCGGCCAGGCACACATGAAGCCCTAAAAACCCAGTTCTCGATTTCAACACCCCCCATCACCATGACCATGACTCCTTTCCACAACCAGCTTAACCCAGACAACATATCCTACTACGGTCCACCAATTGGGGAGGAATGGCAGCCCTCCGTCGGGGTGGTGGTGGTGATTGGGGTGTGTGTGTGTGCCCTCGGCAACGAGCCCGCCTTGCTGCACCGCAGCAGCAGCAGCCACGTTGTCATCACGTCGGCGTTGTGTCGTCAGTCGGGGTTGTGTCGGTCTTGCGTGCGAGCTGCTCTTTGAGTCTCAGCGCTGTGGTGTATGCGGCCTTCTTGTTGGCCCCCAGGTTGGCCACCACCTGAAGAGGGAGAACGGGAGGGGGAGGAAGGGGGGACGGCAGCAAAGAACGGAGAGGCAGAATCGGAAAAGATGGAAAGAATGCACACTCTACAGAGTTTCAGGAGGCGAAACGCTATCAGCAGGCCGACATTTTCAGTTGGCAAGGGAGGGGGCAAGAAGGCAGCGTGGAGAAGCGGAATGACAAGGACACTGCGAGGTTGCAGATCGGGTAAGCCACGGACACATTAATGGTTCAGTTCGTGTACAGTTACTTGAAATTCATGTTCCAAGTTGTTCTCCTTTTCCAACCTCATCTTCCTCCTGAAGTCTGCTCTCCAGTCCGAGCCATATCTGCACTGATTCGGCATTTTGCCCCCTTTTTCATATAACCTCCCACCCTTACGCACCTCCTTCACCGCCGCAGACACGGGCATTTCCGCCTCCAGCAGCTCCCGCAGCACCCGCTCTATGGCTCCAGAACCAACACCCGCTGCAGCAGCCGCTGCTCCGGTTCCGAAACCAGCTCCAGCACCGCCTTCCGCCGACGAAGCAGTTGTCCTCAGCCCCAACGGCCCGCCGCAGCCCTCTATGAGCAGACAGATCTCCCCGCGTGCCTCACGTACCTCCCCAAACTCCCGCAGCGCACCCTCCAGTGTCGACCTGCCAGCCGATGGCGATTTAGTTTGGTGCCGTAACCCAGTGCATGGACCGGGCTCAGACAACTACAGGGACCAAGGCACAGGCCTCCGGGACATGGGCACTTTCACTTAGCAAAGTGTGATGCGATAGCGCTGGTGGTCACGGACTAGCACTGCACTGCAACTAGTAACCGCAGCAGCGCCAGCAGCCAGCGCACAGGACACACTCCACTTCATTCCTTTCCTTCCCACAATCTCTTCCTGCTCCGACGCAGTGCTCCTCTCCTCAACCGCCAACTCACCTGACACCTCAGGCCGATGCCTTCCTTACCTAAAGTACTCCTCATGCACTTTGCTGATCTCCCGGGCGACGCAGCAGCGGCGACTGCCCCCCAGCACCTCCACGCAGTCCCGCAGGACGGCGGCCAGGCCGTGGGGGGCCGCGTAAAGCACCAGGGTGCCGGGCTGGGCGGCAAGGCGCTCCAGCGCCTGGCGCCGCGCACCTGCAGCGACAGCAACCCTCCAGGGAGGCATCAGGAGGGAAACCAAATCAGGCCAGTAGCATCAAAGTGCATGTACCAGTCCTACTCGACACGCTGCCAAGAAGTCAGTTCGCCAGAAATTCCAATGAAAACCTGCCGAGAAGAAGTGCGATAGCTACGTGACACGCGACAGCCCCATTGACCACGTCCCTGTAAAATACCTGTGAATACCTGTGAATAGGCTCATTTGGACTAGCTGCACTAGCTGCACCTTTTTAGGTGCGATGCCCAGTACCTCATCCGCACCTCTACCTTCTAGATCACACTACCCAGCACTACCAGCACTTCCTCAGCAACTCACTCCACCATTGGCCCCCCAGGTCGCCAACCTCCCGCACCCAACTGACCTGATTTTGGTGGCAGGAAGCCCGCGAAGGTGAAGGACCCCGTGTGCAGTCCCGAGCCCACCAGTGCCGTCACGAAGGCGCACGGCCCCGGCAGCGCCACCACCCGCACACCCGCCGCCACCGCCGCCGCCACCACGATATGACCGGGGTCAGAGATGCCCGGCATGCCCGCGTCGCTAACCAACCCCACGGGCTGAAACACGGCGTGCGTGTTCGCGTGTTTCCCCATGTTTGGGTTTTATGCGAGCGTATGAGGAAGTGGACGGGTTTGGCCCCGGGAAAGGGTGGAGGTCCAGAGCGCCGGTGCGCGGAGGGAAAACATGGTACACGGAACGTGGTTGGGGAAGTGGAGGTGTGAATGAATGATATGGGGCAATGTAAGGAAAAAAAGGGCCAAAAGGAAGGGCGCAGCAAAGCATGGAACCGCAGAGACCAGAAGCGCTTCAGGTGTTCGACAAGGCAGCACAACGCAATAATACAGCGCAACTCACGCACATGCCAGAAGGTGGGCACGTGGTAACGCCAGATGGCACGAACCCACGTAACCTCCAATCCCCCTCCGTCCCCCCTACCTCCCCCTGCTGCAGCCGTTGCATCACCCTGGCCAGCCGCTGTTTTTCATTGTGTTCGTGGCAGCTAAGAACCTCCAGGTGCCGTATGCCCTGCAGGCGGGGACCGAGCGCGGCGGACAGGAAAGAGAAGGCTCTTGGGGCGGGGTAAGCTGGCTAGGGCTTCCGGAAAAAGAGGGTGAGCATGAAGCTGGTAGAGGCCAAGACCTGGAGAAGGATCTGGGATGGTTGCAGCTGCGGGACGCGCGGGAAGGGGATGCGGGGTGCCGGGTCGGGGCTCACCAGGAAGTTCAGCAGCTTGCGTGTGTGGCGGGTGTCCTCTGCTAGCAGCAGATTGACACGGCGCAGCGTGTCAGAGGCTCGGAGAGTGATGTCGCGCAGGTTGCCAATTGGTGTGGGAATGACGTACAAGCCCGGCGGCAGCGGGCCTTCCTCCGCGGCGGAGGCAGCGGAGACAGCGGCAGCATCACGAAGGCTGCCTAGGCCGGGGCCAGCGCCGCCGTCGGCGTCGCTGGAGACGTCGCAAGTAGGCTCGGCGGCGACTGCGGAGGACGATAAGGCGGTATTTGATGATGATATCGCTGGGGAAGGAGAGGTGGTTTGTTGCTTAGCAAGTTGAGGAGACCTTGCTGGCTGTAAGCTTCTGGGTTTGGGAAAAAGCACCAAAACTGGTATGGTGTAGCGTGTTACCTGGGACGGAGGCGAAATCCGTAGGAAGCAAGTCAGTTGGGTGTGCGGAAGATTCTCGGGCTGAAAGTGAGTATCGCTGAAATGTGGTCGAGGCAAAACGCAGATAGAAGCTCTTGAGGAAATGCCGTGCAGAGGCTCTCAGTACGCCGGTAGTGCCGACAAACTTGTATGCTTGCATGTTAGTCTAGCGACGATGCTTCGGCACAAAGCGATTGCCTTCAGGCGATTGGCCGTTGTCAAAATTACCGTACACGCAATCCGTACCGAGTTTTTGTCGCCCTGCACTTTTGCCATTGTAGCCTTGACGTGGTCGATACACCCATAGCACAAGATAACCTAAAGTGCAATTCAACGATGAGGTTCTTATTTGTAGCAACGTTTGGATTGCATAGCTTGGCGGCAGCATAAAACTCAAACAGAATTGGAAAAGGCGAAGAAGGACGGCTTCTCGCTCTGCTGTCTCCAAGCTAAGGTGGGCGCTTTCAACATACTAGGGGCTCCCGTATTTGTTTTGAAGTCAGGGTCCAAAGCCTTTCATCGTGTGCGGAAACAGGGCATGGAGGCAACAGCATCAAATACTATTGCTGTGAGATGTCGTTTGGCTTATTTTGGGCACCATCGGCAGAAGGGGTGATGGACGCCGAGCCGATGAGCCTGCCTTGGCTGTCGGAGTTCTTTTGCGCATCCTGAAATCTCCAACGATAACCCAAGCGCCTCGAACATGGCGCACGAAATTCCTCCACAGTTCCGTGCAGTTCTTAATCCGCGGGAGTCTCCGGTAGGTCTTGTCGGACTTCTATCCATCTATGCCATAAGCGCCCAAGGAGCCCTGGGGGAAGGGTTTACCCTCGGCTACAGCGAGCACTAAAGTATTCGGCTTGGCTTAATTCTCTCCGATTATGGCTATGTATAAAAGCGCCGGGGCCCATCCAGTGATCGCCCAACTCCCCACTCGTGACCGCCCGTCACTGCAGGCACACCGTGCTGAGCGTGTAAAGGCCCTGCATGCGGAGCTTAGCACGCCCCAAGGGTAAGTTGAATGATGTCGTTATATTTCAGCAATGGTTCCCAGAGTTATGATAATGTGCTGGATGGGTGTTGTGCGGTACTCCCAGGCACGAAGCTGACCACAAGCGGCATGACAAGCAAAACACCAAGCGAACGACAGAAATAGAGTTGTCACACCAGCTGCACAACCCATTGCGCAACTGCAACAGATCAACAGTACAAAACGGCTGCATCAATTATTGTCCTGGAAAGACACTTGGAATTGTTTCCCTTAGCCGTCAACTTTGGAACCCTTTCGGCCTCGCCTCCATGGCCTCCAACAGTCTATCGATACCCGATTGACCGCCCGCTGCCCCGCCGATGGCCCTCCTTCCATGCGGCAGTTTGCGCCACGCGGCATTTTGGTTGCCCTCCTCCTGGCCGCATCTGCTCCAGCTGTTATCCGACGCGCACCCGGAGGTGCGCATGGCCGCAGCTCACCTACTGGGCCATTTCGGCGCCGTCCTGGCGGGCCGCCGGGAGCCGAGCCTTGAAGGTCGCCTGTCGCCCAGCGCCCTGATAGATTGGGCCCTGGCGATGCTGTCACCCTCATCTCTGCTACCGGCAGCGCAGCGCATGACAGCTGACGCCAAGGTGTGGTTACACGGGGCCATTGGGAACGGCCCGTGTCTGGGCGCGGTATGACTGGGATGAGCATTCAGGTAACAATAGAGAAACATGGGGTCGGCTGCTAAGCCGTATCAATCCCGCTGGCGGCGCTGCCTCCCTTGCAGGAGTCGGCCCTCATGGCACTACACGCTTGCATCGCCGCCATGCCGCCTGCGGACGTGGCACCTTTCGCGCAGCCGCTGCTGCGCCTCACCACGGCTTTGCTGGAGGCCACCACCACCCCGCCCCGCGTACTGGGCCCACTGCTGCGGCTGCTCCTGGCGGTACTCCCGGTCGTGCCGCTGGCCGTGCTCGGTCAGGGATTCGGCGACTTGGCTGACCTCCTGTGCGGCTGGGCCCTGGAGCCACTTGTTGCATCGGACGACAGGTATGCTGATGGGGCTGTATGTCTTGAGAGTTGGGCCGCTGACAAGCAAGAAAACCGCTGCCAATGGAGGAAACTTCGCACGCACTACATATTGCGCGGCCGTTTTGCAAGTCGACAGATTGCGAAGGTAGGCTAAAGTTCGTTGTCAAGGGATACGAGCCTTTCTGAATCTGCTGTGCGGTGCATGTTGCATGCTGCCTGCCCGTGGGCCGCTTTGCAGGCAGCTAATCACCTTAATTCTACATGCGCTGCGGCCCCAGTGGCACAGCCACCCGGACCTCACAGCCTCACTCACTGACAACATGCTAAACGATGTCAAGGCTGCCGCGGCCTCCACGGCCGCTGCAACAGCGGAAGGCGGTGCCGACGCTGCCGTTCAGATGGCTTCATGTATGCAGCTGGTGCAGCTGCTGTGCGACATTTTCTCCGCGGCCTCGCTTCGCCAGCTACCGCTCGCAGGCCTGAGCCCCTCAGAGGATCTGGCGCAGGTCCCCCAGAACCTGATCCCCCAACCTCAAACTTCCACTCAGCCATACCTACAGGCGAACACTGGTGTTTTGCTTCAGAGACCTTCTCGTGTAGTTCTTGCTGGAGGCGTATTGAAATCTACAACAGCAGGCCAATACAGCATCCAAACGAATAATCAAATGCCTCAGAAACAAGTTGGGCTTGTAGGAAAGCACGCGCAGCCTGGTGCTCTCGCGGCCTCACCTCACCCCACAACAAATACACTTGGCCAGGCGGCGGATGCGTTCATGCCAAAGCAGCATGCGCCTCCTATACCACCTCTTGCCCTCACTGCCATTCTGCGCACGCGGCCGGGCGCCGCCACTGTGCGGCATCTTATCGGCCTGTACCGCCGATTATTGGCTACGCTAACAGAAGTTCGAAGCAGCGTTGGTAGGCTAGATGAGGATGCAGATGCTAGGGCTAGTTCCAACACGCGCCCTAACGGTGCTGGGACATGGACCAGCCGCCTGTGCGGTTGCATTGAGACACTTGTCGACAGCGTGGCGTCATGTGTTACGGGTATCGACCCGCGGGACGTGGACGATGTGTTGGAGGGCTTCGACGATGACATCACAAGGCACCTTGCTGCGCTTACGCTACGGGATCAGGGCCAAGGCTCTACTGCCAGCACGTCGGCTAGCCAGGCCAGCACAGTGGCTGCGCCCAGCTTGTCCTGGTCCTTGGACGAGGCGGCGGGCATCTTTGGTCCTGTAGGCGCCGTGCTGGCTGCGGCAGCGCCGGAGACTCCGAGTGTTTGTGTTGATGCAAAGGTGGTAAATGCAGATGGAGCTGCGCGTGGCGGCAGTGAAGACGGTAGGAGTTCAGCGCCACGTACACTTGCAGTGGAGCCGTGCAACGCACTATTAACCTCGGGGATTGAGAGCCGCGGCACTGCGCTGCGTTTATGGATCTTCCGAACCGCGTTGGAGTGGGCGCTGTCATCGCTAGGCGCGGCGGTGGACGGCGAGGAGGGCGCAAGGCCTGGCGCGGACGCAGAGGCCCTAATGGGTTGTGCATTGCGGCTACTTGATAGGGCTTCTGCACCGGGTGAAGCCAGGTGTATGCTGCTGGAGCTTGTTTTGGAGGGCCAGGCAGGGAGCATAGGCGTGTGTGCCCTCAGGCAAGTCCCCATGGCGCGGCACGGCAGGGCGCCTGGTGGCACGGCATACACCCCGGATTTGGATGCACGTGACTGTTATACCTTAATACGTGCTCCTTGACGAGGGGAAAGCGATGATTGTTACTGCAACCGGTAGGTGAATCATTGGCTGCCTAAGCCGGAAGGCATTGAAGAGGAACGTTTGCGGAAGTTTTGCTATAATTGTCTCCCTGCGCCGCAATTCCACATAGGTCATCTCCTTGCGCATCGTCAGTGGCTGCTGCGGCGAAGCTCCTTCATGCGCTGCTGTCACGACGGGAGCTGGCGACGACCACCTTGGAGTGGCTACTGGGTGACCTGTGCCTGCACTTGGCGGCGTTGCAGCCGGGAGCAGCCATGCTTGCGGCACTTCAAACGCATTCACATCTCTACCGCTCTCCATTGGCAGGGGCAACGGGCTTGGAGGGCGGTGTCGGGGACACCGGTGCCGCGGCTGCGGCTGCATTCGACTGCGCAGTGCTGCAGGCAGCCTGTCAACGAGGTTGGCTATCAGACAAGAGCCTCTTCCGGATTGAGGCCTTAATATGGGCCGCGCTGTGCGCCTCTAGGACGAAGCCCGCTTCGCAAGCGACCCCAACAACAGAGTCCCGGGAATCCAGCACAGCACAAGCTGTATTGCTGTCCTCCAAGGGTGTAAGAGCCAGGGGTGGCCTGGCGGTCTTGCCGGCGAAAGATAGGGGCGGAACCAGCAAACGGACAGCTACTGCGCCAACACGACTGGAGCAGCGGCCCTCATTGCCGTCGTCTGTTGCACTGGCTCTCTGCGACGCCTGGGCAGCGGCAGCGGTTGGTCTGATAGCGGTGGTCTACAATAAAGGACGGACATCCTGCGCAGCAGCGACGATTGGGACTCGCCGCTCACACGAGCACGCCCAGCCGGAGTCCGCAGCAGCGGCCCAGGACGCTAGGTGGCAAGCAATAGCAAACGGCCTGGCAGCAGCACCACCCACAGTTGCAAGAGCCTGCTGCGCAGCCTACCTTCACACAATCCACAGCCTGCAGGCCGGTTCTTTGATCGCGGGCAACGACACGTCTGTAGATACAGGCCTCAAGCTGCGTACATTATTGGCGGTTCAGCGTCTCATTAAGCACCCTGTGGTTGCGGGATCGGGCGCTCTCCGCTGTGAGCAGCTGTTCCGGCTAGCAATGGAGGCCATTTCAGCTGGCGCAGTTAGCTGGGACGCCCGCATACGCGTCGCTTCTGCTGAATGTGCGGCCGATCTTGTTGCAAATGTGCTGCGGCCGCTGCAGCAGCCGGCGCCGTTGGCAATGTCCGCTTCTGGCATTGGAGCCCCAGCCATTGGAGTTCTTGAATGGACGTTGGCAGGTCCGGTAACCCCACCGCAGCCGCCGCGACCAGAATCATTCGGCCCACTGGTGGCGCTGGCGCTGGATGCCATGGCTGACCTGTCACCCGATGTGGCGACGGCGGCGTTGCGCCTGGCGACAGAATTGTCTGAGGCGGCACTCTTGGCGATGCTGCGTGGCCCGCCCTCGTGTTGCACTTGGGTGCCAGACTGGCAGGACTCGCTGGGTGTTGCGCCGGCAATGCGTGCGCCGCGCGTACAACAGGTGGCCCGGCTGCTGGAGCTGATCTTCCAGTCGGCAGCGACAACGCAAGGCAACGTGCTGCTCCGGAAGCGCATTCCCGCGGCATCATCTGCGGGCTCAGGCGCAGGCGAGGATGGCGACGGCGGTGGAAGGTTGGAGGCGCTTCAACGCCTGGCTCTGGGCATGTTGCCAGCCGAGGTGTCTGTGCAGGCCGCGGCTGATTCCGCCGGCGGCGGCAGCACCGTGGCCGCCAGCAACAGCAGCTTACCGGTGGCTGTAACTGGGGGAAAATGGAACCATGCGTCGGGTGCCGTCGACCGCAGCGGTGCTGCGCTTGTCTGGTTGGCGCTACAGGAGGGGTCCAAGCATATTGTGGCGGCACGTCTGCGGACGCACTTGGGCGGACCAACTCAGACCTTGGGCGTATTGGAGCGAATGCTACAGGTTGGGCATGAGGATGGATGGTTAGCTTTGAGAAGTGCGCTACGGCGGCTTTTGGGGCGGCCTTCTTCCTCTTTTGCAATGTCGTGAAGAGCGGCGGCATTAGGGACTAAAATCACAAGCGCTTTATGACTGCGGACATGCGCATGAGCCATTCGTCCTCCTTGTGTGACATGCATCGGAACGTAAGGCCACGAGTTATAGCAGTTTTCCCTAAATCGTGACCCGTTGGGCGCTGCTGGATCAAGATTTACAGACATTAAGCGTTACATAATGTTGCCCCTTGCAGATGACGTATGCACGGCTCTCCCAGGAGCGGCGCGACGCAGGCTCTGGGGGCGTGGGCGCGTCAGGCCACGAGTCTGCTTGGCTGGCTCTGGAGCTTGTGGGCGCACTCGAGCGGGCTGTGGCGCACGCGGCGGAGGGGCATGCGGGTCGCGACCTGTTGCCACAACCGGTCCTGGCCTTCTTAACTGCTAACAAAAAAGTAAGACCACTTCAGCGCAAGCTTGCGTGACAAAGATACTGGCACACTTGCCTTCGCACACTCCAGACTTCCAAGATCACGAACATGTTTCATGTTCCCCAGCCCACTTATGGTCTGTTGCTGTTCACGTCTTGTAACAATGCGAACCCAGGTATCATGTTCTACCGCTTTTGTGAGTGGGTTCACCTGTGTCAGTATCCGCCGGTGATGGGTGGGTGGCGATGGTGGGTGACAAGGGGAAGCGCCAATGGTCTTACTGTCCGTTTGCGTTCTGCAAATGGCATGGTTATCAGTTCTTGCTTCAAATAAGTACTTATCAAACCCCTACCCCACTGTCCCACACGCGTTTGCAGGTGTGTGAGGAATGGTTCACTCGTGGGCGGGAGCTGCTCGCGCGCATCGCAGCGCTGGCATCCGCACACCACCACGTGGCGCACCATGGGCTGATGCGCCTGAGCGACTTGCGCCTTACGATGCGTCAGCTGTTGAACAGCCTGGCCAAGGAGCGCAGCAAGGCTGCGGCAGTGTCAGGCGGGGCACCGCAAGCAGATGCCAAAGGCGACGGCGCGGGCGGTGGCGGCGCAGCCAGACCGCTGGGCGTAGCTGGCGCTGCGGCCGCATCAGCCCCGGGATCCAATGCTGCTGTGGATGCGCCATCGCAGGCAGCCCATACAGCTTCGCGGCATGCCAGTAAGCAGCTGCAGCGCCGTGGGGGTACGGTAGGGGATGCTGCGCCTGCCCAGCAGCCGCCTCATCCTTCGGCGGTCGCACCCGCCCCGGCAGCGGCTGGAGGAGCTGTGCCAGGGGTCGCCATGGCCGACGAAGCTGCTGCCGCTCCGTCTCCGATGCAGCAGCTTGAAAGCAGCCTATCCCGCCTGGCCCTCTCTGTAGTGGAAATCCTTAAGCTGGTGGGCTCCGCCTTGCTTGCTATGGGCGAGGCAGACAGTTTGCAGGTAGTCCACGCGCCGTTTCCCATATGTACCCATGTGATCTGTTATAGCATGAGCTTAGGGGGCCGTTGTTCAGGGCGGCTTTTTGTCCTCGTGTTCATTTCTCATTGCGGTGACTTCGCGCTCAGCAAAATAACATTGCTTTTCATGCAACAAATGTAACAAGGGCGGCCCCTTGCCGACTAAAGCTGCGGTTGCCGGTGCGGCATTCACAGGGCCTGCACACCTGGGCTGTCCGCGAATTTGAGCCTCTGCTCCAGGGAGCGCACCTGCCGGGCGCTTCCGCCCTCGCCGCGGCTACGGCCGCAGCTGCCGCGGACGTGCTGGCGTCCGGCGAGTCACGACTGGGCACTGCAGGGCTGAGCACCGCGAAAAGGCGACCAGAGCCGATGCGCGGAGCACGTAGCGGCGGTGGCAACAAACATCAAAAGGTCAGGCCGGACTAGGCGACATCCTTTTGTATACGGTTTTGCCTCGGCTGGGGGTTTCGCAGGTTCGAGATTCTGTTCGTATTGCAGAGCATGGCATGCCAAGCTAATAGCTAACAGTTGCTCTTGTTGTGCATGCTGCGCCAATCCACAACATGTCTTCACAGCAAAAGAGCCCGCTGTCCGAAGCAAATGATACCTGGCTTTCCTGCGTTCATGGTGTTTTGATACTGGGGCAGACTGTAGCCATCAGCTGGGTACTCCGGTGAATTTTGGGAACTTCTTGCCGCTTGCCTGGTACACTTACGCTTCTTGTGTGCAATGCCGCAGGACGCCTTCGCTTGGCTTCTGGGCCTGAGTCAGCAGGCGGCTGGCTCCTACGAGCAGGCGCTCTTATCCTATAACTCATTCCTTGCGCCCGCGCAAGCTCCCGCCACCTCTCTAAGTGCCACCGGCAGCCCTGGCAGCGGCAACGGTGCCGCTGCTGCTCCAGGGCCAAGCCCTAGCACGGCACTGGAGCTTGCAGCCGCCGCTCAAAGCTTCGTGGTGGAGCGAGTGGCCGAATGCTACGCGGCATTGACCGACTGGTCAGGGCTCCAGGTGCGTCAGGGCACCAGCTCCTTAAAAGGCAGCGACAGAACAGCCCGATGGCAGGCCGCTGCGTGGTAAGGGCCAGAATCATTACTGCGATCAGACCGTAGGGTCTGTGCCATGCATGCGCACATGCGCCCCACGGAAAGAGAGATTTTCTCCAGTTACTAGAGACGCATAACCTGGCCTAAACTGGCATATAACCTGCAGGGTCTGGTGGGCGCCTTCTCTCGCACCGCAGCCACCGAGTCCGCCGTAGCGGGCTGGTGGCCAGCGATGGCGGCTTCCATTGAGCATAGGTTCCGTGCTCTGGCAGCCTTCGACACGGCGGTACGGTCCGTTTCTTCCTCAGAACTGGTGAGTCGAGACACATTGTGCTGTTGTGAAGGGTTTTGATTCGGCGCGTAGCTGCCCAAGTTACGCACACTGTTTTTGCGAAAATACTGCCATCTTGTGTCACGACACGGCGAAGTACTTGAAGTACGTGTTGGCTTGAAGACGCGCCCGATCCTTTTGCTTGCAAGAATGATATGTACTGTTCCTATTGGTAGGTGTGTAAAACTCTACCGGACTAGAATTTTCCATTCGTTCGTCTGGCTGGGCTCTTGGTTTTTCGCCTTTCCGTTAGGTTATGCTAATCTCCTCGCGACAGGTACCCGGCGATTCTTCCAATACCGTCCTGCTGGCCGCCCTCCGGGCATTGGAGGGCACAGCAGCGGCTGCAGCGCCCCGCAGTGCACATCCTTCAGGCTCCTTGGCACCCCTTTCGCCACCGCCGCGGCCCCGTTCAATGGACCTTGCAGCCGTCCGCGAGGCCACCTCCCTGGAGCTCGACCGCATTTTGGACCAGCTTCGCGCCAGCGCACTATCCGACCCGGCCGGGCAGCGGCAGTTGCTGTTGCAGATTAGCTACCTGCGCAGCGCATTGCGGTCGCTGGATGGAGAACTTGCAGCACACGGCAGCGGGGCTGCCGGCGCCCATGGCCCTTGGTGTGGACTACTTCTGCCACAGGTGCTGCATTCCGGCCAAGTAGCCGGTGAAACGACGACGGGTGCTGTCACTAGCGCAGGATTCAGCTTTGGTCTTGGCCGCGGCCTGCTGAGCCCAGACGGCGGCCTGCAAACCGCAGTTGTTCGTGATGTAGCTGTAACGGCGGGGCTGCTGCGCGCCGTGCGGGCAAGCGACCCGCGAGCCGGGCTGCCTGGGACGCAAGCTCTGCTAATTGAGAATATCCGCGCCGGGGCGGCGACGGGCAATTGGAGTCTGGCGACCCGACTGGTGCAGGCGGCTGCAGCGCGCGTGTCAGGGCTCGAGGTGGATGCCGCGGCTGGCGCCCGCGAAGTGCTCTCCATAACGCACAGCCTGGTATGTGCGGCATCTGGAAGGCTCATGCCGGGACAAGTCGTGGAGTTGCAGTTGCGGGCCCTACTGCCGCACTTGGGGTCTGTGGACGGACCTGCGCTCCGCCGCTTACCGCCTGGGGCTCCGTTGCACCGCGTCGTGGACGCTGATGCAGACGACCTGGCGTGTGCTTTATGCACGCTGGCACGGTGGATGCTGAAGGCAGGTGCGGTGGCGTCGAGTCACCATTCGCCTGCACCGGCCTCCCATGGCCCGCATCACCCAAGCCACATCCAGCCACATGGCAGCCAGCGGCCCCAAGGGGCAGACCAAGGCAGGCAAACCAACGGCCAGTCTCGTGCTGGCCCCCCGGGCTTCCTGCTCAACTCGCAGCAGCAGCAGCAGGAGCAGCGTAGCCTGCAGCACGCGCAGCCTGGCGTCACCGGTACGGACACCAACGTCTCCCGCCCAAGCCCTGCCACGTCTTCTGTTCCGCAGTGGCCGAGTGCGTTGGATTGGCCCGCGCTCAGCTCAAGTCTCCTTCGGGAGCTAGTTTCTGAGCATGGCATATCCTCGTGCGCCATGGCTCCGGGCCCCGGCGGCGGCGGGTCTGCGCCAGCGGCGCAGCTCGCATTCCTTCTGCCGGAAGCCCTGCTGCAGTCGTACTATGCACCAGCGTCCTGTTGCCTTCGTGCGCTGCAGCTGTCCCCGGACTTGGCGCGCGCCTGGAAGGCCTGGGGTGACCTGGTATTCAAGGCAACGAAGGAGCATCGGGCACGAGCGGCACGGCCTCCACCGCAAGCGCCTTCACCAGCAGGCGGATTAGCTAGCAGCACGTTAGGGTCTAGCAGCGGCGCGGCCGTTAGCCCTACAGGCGCATCTGTGGACGATGCATCTGGGGCCTGGGCGGCGGTGGGGTATGGCGCCGCAGCAGTGGCGTACTGCCGGTATCTTGCGCTGTCCTTTAGCCATGATACCGCTGCACGTCCCGAGGATATGTTGCCAGTGCTGCTACAGCTCCTGCACATTGTCGTGCGCCACGCCACGCCAATTGAGCATCTGCTGGAAGCACAGCTGTCGGTGGTGCCACCATTGGCATGGTCGACGATCACTCCGCAGCTGCTAGCGCAGCTCCCCAGTGCCAGCGGGGCTGCGCGGCGGCTGCTAGGCCTGCTGCTGCACGCAGTGGGCCGTGCCGCGCCGTCGTTGGTGCTATATCCAGCAGTAGTTGAAGTGCGCGCCGCGGATATGGCAGCTGCTACAGCGGCGGCTGCCGCCGCCACAGCCGCGTCTTCGGGTGAAGCCCCTGCCAAAGCTGCAATGGAATCGTCAGTGACTGGTGCCTCTATGGTTCCGGAGCTGCGGGCGCTTTTGGCGGATTTGGGTCGTAGTCGAGCAGGACTACTGGCGGGCGTGGAGGTGCTGGTTGCGGAGATGGAGAGACTGACAGTGCTGTGGGACGAGCGCTGGGCGGCTCTGCTAGCAGAAGTGGAGGTGGAAATTGCGCGCAGGTACGTTCCTGAGGGGGTGTTTTGTAGGGGCCTGGCGATGCCCTTACTGTTCTTTCGTTAGGGCACGTCGATGCGTTGATATCCTGCAGGCATCTCACGAGCTTACTCTGCCATTGCTAAAGCTATTTGAGTCTGAGCCGGTTTTCTTTCGTAGCCCCACGCACGCTTGGCCCATCCATACACCACTGCGCAGAGCCGTGAGCCTACAGGCCGAGGCTTCGCGTGTTGCGGACGACGCGTCTATTAACGCAGATCAGCGCCAGGCTCTCCTCTCGAGCCGCTATTCCACCCTCATGGCACCCGCTGTGATGCTGTTAGAGCGCCAGCTCCGTGTTATGGCGGCGATGCCGGCCGAAACGCCGCACGAGCGTCGCTTTGCAGAAGCCGTGCTGCCGCGGTTGCGGGCCGCTGCGGCATCACTGCGCGACGGCGTTGGTGTGCGCGACTGGGCTCGGCCCAGCCAGGCCTGGGCACCGCTGCGTGCCGCGGCGGCATCGCTGGCACGGCAGCAGCGACAGCCCCTGCCGCCGATAGCAGAGTTGTCGCCCCGACTGGCGGCGTTGCAGGGCTCGGAGGTGCCCATGCCCGGGTGTCACGCCGACGACGGCGCCGGCGGTGGCCTAGTGCCTTTTGCAACACTGGCCTCCTTGGGAATAACGGAGTCAGCGGCTGCAGCGACGGCAGCAATGGCGGCAACGGTCACTGTGGCGGGAGTGTGCAGCGAGGTGGTGGCGCTTAACACCAAAACCCGGCCCAAACGTGTGGCGCTGGTGGGCAGCGATGGACAGACGTACACGTACCTTCTGAAGGGGCGCGAGGACCTGCGCATGGATGAGCGGCTGATGCAGGTATGTAAGGGACCCCAGACCAGAGGCCGCATAGCTGGCATGCTTGTTGGTTGCGTTAGCGCTGGTTCCCCTTATATTCTGCTTGACAAGCTTCCCGTGCCGGACAGGCGCTTTCTGCCGCAGCTACGTGTAGCTCCCTGTGTCTCTGCCGTGTTTCAGGTGCTACGAGCCATTAACTCGATGCTCCAAGCGGACCCCTCAGCCGCCGCACGCGGCCTCGCGACAGTGCGCTGCTACAGTGTTACCCCTCTGGGGCCCCGCGCAGGGCTCATTCAGTGGGTGCCTAGCACCACTTCATTGTTCGCTGTGTTTCGACAGTGGCAGGCAGCCACCCTGGAGCGCCACGGCGCGATGGTGGCTGCCCGTCAGGAAGGCGTGGCGAAGGCGCTGGCGGAGGGGTCACCGCCTCCGCCGGAGGTAGAGCCGCCGCCCCCCGCCGCCGCCAGTCGACCAATGGACCTCTTTTACTCCACGCTGGTGTCCGCCCTGCAGGTACAACCCCGCTGCCCTTCCATAATAACGACATGACCTCGTGCACGATTGCGATGGGATGAACTTGACGCCATTTACTAATATGCTGCGGGCCAATTCTTCCTGGTTTTATTCTGCTCCATTCTTCATTGTGTGTGTTTTCCCTCCACCTCGGGTTGAGTCGCTGGGCTTACGTATCTGCGCTTGCAACTAAACACTGCCCCAGTATTTGATCCTTGTCGGGTAATGCACCTTGGAAATACTTCCACTCAATGCTCCACTTGTACATGGGCCATGCAGGAACGCGGTCTTTCCAGTGCCACACCCCGTCGCAACTGGCCGGCTGACTTACTGCGTGCCGTTTTCGCAAGCCTGGCCGCAGTCGCGCCGCGCCAGCTGCTGGCGCGCGTGCTGTGGGCAGGTGGCGGCTCTGCGGCCCTCTCGTGGCGGAGACTGCAACGTTACAGCCGCTCTTTGGCGGTCATGAGCTGCGTGGGCCACTTGCTGGGGCTGGGCGACCGCCATCCGGACAATATCCTGCTGGAGGGACGTGAAGCCGGCGTGGTGCACATCGACTACAACGTATGTTGGGATAAGGGCGCCAAGCTGCGGGTTCCGGAGGTGGTGCCGTTCAGGTGAGGCTGATGGTGGTAGTTTCGAGAGATGCAGGAGATAACATCTCCAGGATGAGATACATCTCCAGGAGGGCGAAAACGGCCTGAGTACCTTTCTTTAGTACCACAAAGGTGCCTTGCCCGGACATGCCATCACAGCGTTGCCGGCTCTACGATGCCCATCGTTAGCGGCACCAACGGTCCCCGGTCCACTACGGATACTGCCCTTTCCACAGGTTGACCCAGATGCTCAGCACCGCCCTCGGTGTTGGCGGCTTGGAGGGCGTCTTCCGAGCCGCCTGCGAGACAACGTTCGCGTGCCTGCGCCGACGTCGGGAGGCGTTGGTGGGCCTGGCTGATGCGGTGCTCAGCGATCCGGGGGTCGATTGGGCAGTGGAGCGCGAGGATATGGCAGCGAGACAAGACATGGAACTTGCAGTGGCGCTGAATCTGTTCGTCAGCAGGTCTGGCCGTGTCTCTTGCCACCCCTTTTTAACTTGCGGGTGGCTTGGAGAACCGCGAATTGGAGTTGTTGACAAAGAGACTCATGAAATGATAGTTATGTCGGTTATCACCATGCTGTAGCTCTATTGCGATAGAAAGAGTAATAGTGTGGCCGGGTACTTCTTGCCCTGCGAGTTACAAGTCCTTTGTTACAAGTCCTTGGAACTCCAATAGTGTTCCATTATAACCAACTTCGTTTTACGTTGGCCTGTGTTTCTCGCTCGGCAGAGCTGAGGAGGCGCAGCGGCAACTGCAGCAGGCAGAGGAAGATCTGCCGGCGGTGCTGGACGGCCCCGTGGGAGTGCTGCTCGCGTATGTTGAGGCGCAGGCGTTTGCAGAGGCCATGCGCAGTGCGGCTACAGAGGCGCAAAAACGCATCCAGCAAGCTAAGGTTGGTCACACTATCTTAGCTCCCTGGGCCACGCACAACCTGAGTATCCAACAACGTTCCAAATGGATCGTCTTGGTTCTTGACCTCCTGCGCTTGCGGATGGTTTGTACGGCGCATTTCGTTACGCCAGAAAGCTTAGAATGCATTTCTGGAGATGATTACTGGATTGGCCCTCGCGCATTCCGCTTTCCGATCTTCCCCGTCCCGTCGACAGTCGGCGTTGGAGATAGCCAGCCGAGCCGAGGCGGAGGCAAGCGCCATCGTCGCGGCCGCTGCTCAGGAGGCGGCGAGCCTGGCCGCGGAGGGAAGCTCGCTGAGCAATGCCGTGCCGCAGCTGCTACAGCAGTGCGGAGCTTGGGCCCAACAGCACGCGGGCACTCTCGGCGTTCTTAGGTGAGTACGCCTGCCAGCATAAATACCATGTCGCAGGTACAGGGTCGTTTGCGCGCTTGACTAGGGTTCCTTGGGAACCTCCTAGCCTAGCCCCACATGGTCTCTTTCCGGCGGCGCGCGTCTCCTGCTTTGCATTCACGGTTGACCCTCGATTCCCGCATGCGGCCCTGAGGACTCGGCGCTTAGTAGGTTTTTTTAACTTTGCTTTCAGTACGCGTCTCCTGGCGGTTTCCACCGGCCATGTTTTTTTTCGATTTACCGCGTATTTCCTTGCCTGGTCGCTGCAGGGAAGGGTCATTCCTTGAGGGAACTCTGGCCAGCGGTGCCTCGTGGAGGGCTGTCGAGAGCGGCTGCGCTTTGGGGCTGCTGACGCCTGTGCCGGTCCCTGGCCATGCGCCTTTGAATGCAGCTACGCCGCATGCGCTGCTGCCGGCTGTGATGGGCAGCGACGACTTGGGTATCGGACAGCTGCCAGAGGTGAGAGACGGGATCTGGCAATGTGTCGCTAGTGACTTGGTTGAAGCCCTTCGGCTGCAATACGTTTGTGATGGGCGTTGTGCGCCGCGGATATGCATGCTCCCAGAAGGCACGGTCAGCTGTAACCGATAGTAACCCGTATTAAAGCTGCCAGAGGATCTGGTGTGGCGAAAGAGGGCTTTTGCGAACTAGGAGCACAACTTAACCGCATCCTGGTCTGTTGCACCGCAGGAACTGCTGCTGTCATGCCATGAGTGCGATCGCCAGGCCGCAGACGTGCTGGGCCGCCGTGAGGCGGCGCTTTGCGAAGCCGTGGCTACCCTAACGCAGTACGGGACCATCGTGCGCAAGCTACTGCCACCAGCCTATCCCGCCACCAGCTACCACCATCGCTGGGCACAGGCGCTCTCAGCACTGGTGGCTGGTGGCCTGTCCGTGCCAGCGGTTGCGCAGGCGCAGGCGCTAGCGCCACGAGAGCCGCGGCCCCTGGATGTGGCGGCTGCTTGGCAGGCGCTGCGCGGCTCACAACGGCTGGCGACCGCTGCCGCGGTGGTGCTGGCACCGGGCTCGCCAGATGCGGCAGCGGCATTGTCAGGACACGTGGCAGGGGTGCGCGTGCCAGGGCGAGAGTTGGCAGGTGCGGTAGTTGCAGCTGGTAGGACGCTAGGGGACGCAATGGTGGGCATTGCGGCGGATGCGCAGGCACAGGTGCACGAACGCCAGGCAGCGGCTTCCGCCACGGGAGCTGCCGGCCGCGCCGGCGGCTTGGTGGGTCTTTCAACAAATCAGCAGGTGCGATACGTGGCTGAGGTGCTGCAGCGGCACTCCCCACCACATCAACGGCCTGGGCTTGGTGCAACAGATGGCGGCAACGGCAGCAACGGTGGCGACCCCTCCGCTGCTGCCATAGTGTCAGCCGCCTCAGACGCGCTGCTTAGGCTGGTTCGGGCAGCTAGCAACCGCATGGAAGCACGCATGCTCACAGGTCAACAGCTATGCCCGTCTGACCCCCAGCGCGCACTCTCGCACGGGGGGGAACCCGTTGCGGACTCGGCAACTGGCCTACAGGACTTTCTACGGCTGAGCGGCGATGTGGCGGGCCTGGCGGCAGCCACTGCGACCTTGGCCAACGCGCGACTTTCCGCGCCGGTCCTTGGCATTGCGGATCCCGGATCTGGCCTCAGCTGTACAAGAGGTTCCTCGACACAATCATTAACTCAGCATTACCTCCAAGGTAATGAACCGCAACCAGGCGGGAGTCCCCACGCGATTATCCGTGCAGCTACGCCGGGTGTCCAGGGTGGCATTGAGGCGGCGGCTGCGTGTCCACTGCCTTGGCTGGCTGCGGCTGCGGATATTTGCAGCCGGTGGCCGGAGCTGATGCACCGCCTAGCCGCAGATGTAGCTCCGGAGCTGGCTGGGCAGCTGCATATTGGATGCGGGTTCGGCGGTGCAGGCGGCACCGGCGGTGGTGCCGGCAGTGCGCCAGCTGCACAACCAGACACGCCTTTTGCGCAAGTAAGTTGTTTCGTGGTTGAGCAAGTTGGGGTGGAGGCAAAGGTAAGTTTGTCGTAAGACATCGGTCGTGAGCGCCAATCGGTATGCATGCAGGCTGCGCTGGTGTCCGCTACCCTTTCCTTGGCATTTTCATTCTTTTCCTGGACCTCCTTAATGTGATACTGTCAAGGCGATAAGGACTGTGTAATCCCTTTCCTTTCTCACCTACAGGTAGTAGCGGATTTGTATGCGCTGATTCGCCCCGTCGAGGAGTCGCTGCACGCCGGTCGCGACGCGCACACACGATTTGAAGCACTTGCTGAGCTAACGGCTACCTACCAAGACCGCCGCGCGGACCTCCTATTTCGCCTTGCTGGCGGCACTACTGGCGATGCGGCAACGGCCGGTGGAGGCGTCTCACCACTGCTGACGCCTCCCGAGCGTGAAAGCCTGGAAGCGGACCTCCAGGCGTTGGACGCGGCTTGGGAGTCTCGGGACGTCGTGGCGGCTGGCCTTTCTACGGCGATTGCCACGGCAACGGAGGCGTTGGCGGAGGCGCTCCGGCGCTTTTATGCAACGGTTCTGGGACCCGGGCGGCTGCCGGTGGAGCTACAGACATATGATACTGCTGCCGCAGCGTACGCGGCTGCGGGCATGGAGGGCTGGGCTGAGGCAGGCGGTTGCGGGCACGCTGGGCTAGCAGCGCTGGCGGCATGGTGGGATGCAGTGACCGAGTCGCTGGAGGGCATCCAGTCTTGTTATGGCAATGGCGAAGCTGAAACTGTCACCTCCGACTCCTTGGTTGGAGTCCCCCCCACGATGCGGCCGCTGTGGCGGTGTGTGGAGGTAGCGCACATGGTGGAGCAATCTTTGAGGTTGTGTGGACAGGCGGTGCGCCTGACGGCGCCGGTGGGAACCGATGGTGCCTTGGCCGAGGCATACAGCGCTGTGATACAGGCTCTGGCGCCCCGCGCGGCGGGGTACATCACCGGTCGGTTGTTCCCGCACTTGCGCCATTACCTGTCAGCCTTGGAGTCTCAGCTAGTGACGTCTCTCGAGCTCTCACGGCAGAAAATGGGCAGCAACAACAACAGCGGCGGTGGTGGTGGCATCGGAACCGACGCGACCTCCGTTGAGATTTGTGAACCCAGAAGCGGCGGCGGTGATGTGGCATTGGGTGCTGGTACACCTGAGCTCGTGCCTTTCACAGATTTTGATCCACGGATTGCTGGTGAGGGCGAACTGCTGGGTGGCTTGGATGATGATGAAGACGAGGCAGGCGGAGGCCCCGGCGACAGCGATGACGGTGCCGGCTGGCTCGGTTATGTCGATGGGCCGGAAGGCGTCAATAACGGGGACGGCAGTGGCGGGGACGCGGAAGGCTTCGATATTGACCTCGGTTTGGATTTGGACCTGGATGACGGTTTCGGGGGTGGCAGCGAGGGCTTGGACGAGGGGCGGGTCGGGTTTGACTCCCCTTCCCAGATGGAAGGATCCTATGGTGAGGGCGGCTCGGACGCGGGCTCCCGTGCTGGTGGGAGGGCTGCGACGGCGGCTGCGGCGACCTTGCCGTGCGCATCGCCGGAAGAAGTCTATACGCTGTTGGCTTACGTGGCAGCATGTGCTTCTGTGGCGGCAGTCGGAAGCGTGACCGCTGCCATCGACCCCTCTGCTGCCGCTGGCCAGCCGACCGCCACCTCCGCGTGGGCCGCTGGGCCGGAGGCGCGTGCGTCACGTGCCGCCCGTCTGCAGCGGCTGGCTGCCTATGAGTGGATGCACGAGCACCACTTGCTGCAGGCGTTACCTGCAGGTGACCCGAGGATCGGCCAGGCCCTGGCGCAGTTCTTTGCGGCACAAGCGGCCGATCCGCTGCAGCCCAGCGCACGTGTCACCGCCACCAGTCGCCTGGCATTGCTGACGCAGCTGCAGTCTGCACTGGACGCACTGCCGCTGCTGGAGCAGACAGTATCCTCCTGGGAGGCTGCCAGCAGCGCGGCCGTGTCGCAGGTAATGGCTATGCTGCGCGGCTTACCGGAGCGGTTCCCCGTGGACACAGCGGTGGCAGTGCAGCGCGCGGCCGTCGTGATGAGCAGGCGGCAGCAGTGGCTCGCAGAGTCGCGCGCTGTTGTAATGCGCCTGTGCCAGGTGTCGGAAGCCCTATTGCAGTTCGAATACTCCCGGCAGGGCATCACGTGGTCCAGCGGCAGCACGGCGATGGCAGATGGCTTTGCGGCACATTTCCAGCTGCTGGGGCGCGCCGAGGTGCTGGCTACGCTGGCGGCCGCCGGCAGCGAGGCGGGACGCGCCGCGGCAGTGGCGGAGGCTTCGCAGCGCGCGGCGGAGGCGGCTGGTCAGGCTGCGGACGCACGATATGCGCTGGAGGTTGCGCAGGCAAGTTTGGGTGTGTCCTTTTTGTTAGTAAGGGGTTCACGGAGGCGGTGGGAATGAGGCAGCGGCCTTTATGGTACTGGTGATGCGGCTGCTGCGGGGTTGGTGGGGCCTGTAGCTGCTGTGGACGCAGCTTGTTGACCAAGGGAATTGTGTATGGCACCAAACCTCCATTCAGTCGGTATTCGGGTATCAGCTCGGCTCTCCGGAATGTTGGCCCAGGAGCCGCGCATCACCTGACTGCGTGTCCCTTTCGCCTGTGCAGTACGAGGAGGTGGCTGCCAGCTCTCAATTGCAGGCGCACCTACCGCTGTTGGTCTCCCGCTCACTCGAGCTGGGATCGGCGGTGGCGGAAGCGGAGCCTGCTGTCAGGGCCGTGGTGCAGCTGCTTTCTGGCAAGCTAGGTGCGTGTTGGTTGCCGTTTGGCATGCTCAACCATAACATCGCTACGGTACGAAGCTTGCAGTTTTGCCTCAAGTTCCTGTGACACCTGTGCTGGATATGTAGGAGAAAAGACACTCTGCCCTGGTGTGGACTTGTATGCGCTTAGCGTGGAAATATTGCCAACATGAAATTATGGATGCATGCAGGTCCCGCCCTTAAGGAGCTTTCCTCTGTAGCTGCTCAACATAGCGCTGCAAGCGACGTCGCATCGGTTGCGGCCGCCGTCACCTCGCACTTCGAGCGTTCCCGCCAGGCGGCAGCGGCGCTCGCGGCAGCGCTGCCTGCCACGCTGGCCGCGCTCGTGGCGGCAGACGCGGCTGCATCGCTGCCTGCCGATATGGCCACCGAGGTGGGCTTCCTGTCGGCACAGCTTCTGGGCGGCCCAGCGGCAGCAGCGGCAACCCGTGAGAGGGCAATGGCTCTGCTGCAGCATTTGGCGGCGCCCGCTGCTGCACTGCAACCGGTGCTGCACACTGTTCTCGAGGTGCGTTGGGTTCAGATGCTTGGGTTAGGTAGAGCTTGGACATTTGGGTCGTGGAAAAATATCCACTCGTGCTCTTGTGTCCTCAGGCACGAGGTTTCCTCCAAGGGCGTTATCACTTAGGGTTTTTCGCCTGTATCTGTCCAACCAGTCCACGTACTGGGTAACCAACTTTCAGGATGCGTAACCCGCTTCAGACCCCCCCTACATTAATGCGTCTCGTGTCCGTGCACTCCTGCTCTTTGATTGCGTCGCAGCTCCCTAGGGCGCTGGGACAGCTGAGCAACGAGATAAGCACACTCGCCGCAGCTGCGGGCAGCATTGCCGCGGCCGTGGAGTCAAAGCACCTGTTGCCGGCTATGGACGAACAGCAACAGGGGCAGCCGGAGGCCTTGACACCACCACAGATGTCTTCCACGGGCGCATCTAGCACGCCGCAAGACACGGTGGGAAGGACAACTAGACAGGACCGCATGCCAGGGGACGTGGCAGCCACAGGGGCGTCGACGTTGGAGGGTTCCCAGGCAGCGGCTGCTACCTCGGGCTCAGGCAGCCTACTCTCAGCAGTGAAAGCCAAATCTGCAACCTCAACGTCAGCATTGGCAGGGCCGAGCGGGTTGAACCGATTGATGCTGCAGCGCCTGGCCCACGCAGATCACGTGCAGCACCATCGCTCACGCCGAACTGCTGCAGACGAGGCCAGGCGCCGAGCCTTCGCGGCCGGCGCACTCCGCCGCTTCGTTGCAAAGTTAGAGGGCCGCGAGGTGGAAGGAGGGCTCAGCGCCGGGGGAGTGAACTCTGCATCAAATCAGCATTTATCAGTTGCGGAGCAGGTAGATTTACTGGTGCGCCAGGCGACTAGCACAGATAGGTTATCGCAAATGTATGAAGGCTGGACGGCTTGGCTCTGACTTTTAGGTGTCGGGCGAGTCTTTAGGTTGGTCTGAAGTGTATGCTCGTAGCAATTATCGCACGACAAGAAGCGAGAGCCGCAAGGAATTGCAACTGTGCGAGTATTCGTGCGGTACTGGCGATTAGCACGTGGACTCTGGGATCAGGTGTAAAAGAGTGAAAACACGAGATGTTCTGTATTGCTGAGATGGTGCATACCGAAAGCGCGTACATCGTGTTGAAGGATATGAACACCCGTTCCTCTTTGGCGACAACACTGCATTAACACAAAAGATCAGTCGACCGTTGTAACCGTGCAGTTATGCTACATCCATGCTTCGTATCGCACGAGCTCAAGATTATACACAATATATAAGCACCTGCGGTCAAGGAACGCTTATCCACCAAAACCGTTCGAGACGTCACGCATGCAAGCAACTCATCCTGCCATGCACGGTGTAATCCTGCACAATCCTGCTATTGGGCAGAGGCCTCTCCAAACGCAACAGACAACCTGCCACATTGCGATCCTGATGGCCTCACAGCTCGCTGTGCTGATCCGATGGGTGCGGCCCGTGCATGTCCAGGAATAACAAGTATCCCCCCAACAGCGTGAGCACCACCACCGCTACAAATGTAGTGACCAGTCCCGGAGTGAAGGGTGACGCGCGCAGAAACAGTGAAGACACATCAACCTGTGAGTCGCCCCCCTCGGCGGCGAGCTGGCGGCCCGCGCCGAAAAAGGGAGGGAATTGGATGGGGGCAGACACACGGGCAAGCAGGCATTTGGGATGTCGTCGGAAACCATAGCAACTAGATTAGGTAAGATGTTGCCAGACCAAGGGACTGCAAGGAGACTGCTGCGCCTTTTCTCTACCAACTGCGCCGCTTTGCTCCTCAACGCTTTTGTACGCTGTGGGTTGAGATTAACTTCACGTTACTGCTACGCGCGCGACTGCATGGTTCATGCGGGACAGTAGTTCAGGCACACACCCGGACGGACAGGGTTCAGGAGCAAGCTGCCGTAGCGAGTCCTCCACAAGGCCAGGGTTGAAGAGTGCTTATAGATGCGTGCCGGTGCATGGGAACCGGCTAGTTCGCCCAGATCTTCCGGATTACCATGAGACGCATGCGAATGTGAAATCAGGAATGTGCCACCATAAGGCATGAAAACTAAGGCGCCAAGAAGATACCGCTTTAGGCAGCCCTCGGAACCTGGATGAAGTGCAAGCAAACAGCAATTATCCTGCATGCCCCTGGGTGTTTGCCCTTCGTCGACGCACAACCACTAACAACGACACGTGACCGCCGTCCTTCTATGCTGATGGCACGAAGACCCGGGATGTGACCCAAAATTGGACGTTTTCTAACACCACAATCCTGCCTTCGAGCATGGGAAAGACCTAACAAGCTAGGCAATAAACATGCTATCCGAAGCCATCACCATGTCGAGCGCATCGGGCCCCAAGCAGCAGGCATTATTCGCTGGTCCCAGAAACCCTCGCCCAAGGCCCATGGACGGAAAGGACCAAACCACCGAGAAGGGGACACCGGGTGCGACTTCCTAATGAGCTACCTTGCCCACGACAGCATACTTCGCGTTGAACTTCGCAATCCAGTCTTCGAGAGTCTTAAGCTGTTTCTCCGTGCAATCTGCAAGGTTGTCATTGCACTCCGCCAAGTCCACTTTCATGATAGCCAGGGCACGCGCGCATTCCCTGCCGGCAAAGGCTTCGTACGGGCCACCTGTAAGGATCATGTATGCGAGCGCACATTCATCAGCGTCAGCGGGAATGGCATGGACGAACTAGTGACACCAACCACCCTTTCAACGGGCCGGGTGGCGGTTGTGGATTGGAAGGTTGTTGCTGGTTTTGTGATAGGCTCATGAATATAACAACAAGACACGCACGGCTCATAGTGCTACAAGCAGCTTAAGACTGTTATGCATACGTCCACCAACCCCGATGCAAGCAGTGGAGAAGACCAAGCCACACAGAGAATGGTGTGCATGGCGAGCCGCTTACCCTTGCCATAGAACTCTCGCGAGGCTGACACGTCATAGACAGTCCCCTTGACGGCAATATAGACTGGCTTAGCAGCGTCAGTGCCATCAAACGAAAGCAACTCAGAAGCCGTGAATGTCTGTGCCATTTTGCCTGGCAAACGCTTAATGAAGAGGTACCAAAGAGGTTCTCCGTTAGCAGCAAACCTTTTAGTGTCTGCCTTGTGCTTGCAATCCAGCAAAGGCCAGCGTGCGCAAAGGAAATTCCTGAGTATGGTCCCGTTTCCTTAGCCTTGGGTAAAGAAAATATTAGATAAATCCTCTATTGCGCTAAAAGGTTTAGTCCGCTTTGCCACTTGTCTGAACGCCTGGGGCATGAGCACATTGGCTGTGCGCTGTGGCAGGATGGATCCAGAGTGTACGGTCACTACAAAAATTACCGTCAACTTAAGGTGTTCTCCCGTCATGTTCTCTATGCCACCTCTGACCGTTACTCCAACAACATCTGAATTAACAATACTAGCTTGTCGCTTTCCTGACCAACTTTGACCAAGTCACCACTCCATCGAAATGGACGTCTCATGCGGCTTCACATTTTCGGTTAAGCGTGTCAGTGACCCACATACTCGGAACATTCTGTGGTCTTTGGCAGGAACCATTGCGGCTACCGTCATTATCTTCGCAAGCTTGGGCTCGGTAAGGGCGTCTTGAACTGTTTATCTCCGCCGCACAATGATGAAAGCGTAACGGAATTCACAATATCATTCCTGACCAGTGATGTTGAAGCTCGGATAGAATGGTGTTAGTGTGCATAGTCCCTGTTTACAGCTGGTGCTAACGACCATGGCGTTGACTGAGTCCCTGCTGGCCGTCAACTGAACCCGCAGATTCAAAACCAGTGCCGCTTCGAGGACCCTTCGCTCCTTTCCGGGATCTCAGGTTTTTCCGGAGCTGTGCTTGGCTGCAAGAAGGTCTGTGTCGATGCAGAACCGCTTCGCGGAGAACTCTTTCTAAAGCAGTTCAACTTCTAATAGTTCCACGAAGAGTTGGAACATACATCAGACGCGTGCTTCTCGTTGTATTTCTTGCAGCTTTACCGCTACTACTGGTTCATCACGGTGCTGAGCTTCCTCACCGCCGTCTATGGCGCATGGACCGCTGCACATGGCTTTTTGGCTGGCCGTCGCGGCGCTGTGCTGGGACTTCTCGTCGTCGCCAATCTACTCACTATTAACATGACCGGTAAGGCTCAAGGTTCATTAGATTTTTACGAGAACTGTAAGTTTACACATGGTTGCTTGTTTGCTGTTGCCAAGAGCTATGGCTAGCTTTCTGTACGATGAACACCAGCTTTATCTTCGTTTCGCCGCGTTCCGACATGTTTACAAGTACATCTGTCCACGCCCGGTTTAATGTCTTTCAGATGCCTTCCTTTCTATCGTCGACGTTCCCAAGTGGCAGAGCGGTCCTGCTCGCGATCGCGTGCGCACTATGATCGCCGGCTGCATCATCACCGCATTCTTCCAGGCAGTTTCCATCATCCTTGTTGGTTATGACCCGAGCGCTGTTGCCCCGGTTGCTAAGTCAGCGCCCAAGGAAGCCTCCAAGGACGAGACTCCCGCTGTCGAGCTTGCTACAGCTGTCCCGACGGCCGCCCAGCCCGCCGAGGCTGCGGCTGAGCCAGCCGTTACTGCCGACGTGGAAGCCCCGGCAGCCCCCGCAGCTGAGGAGCCACAGTCTGCCGTTGCGGTTGAGGTGCAGTAAGGTCTGCCATGAAGACTTTGTTCGGCGCTTCGCTCGTGATTCATTAAGGACGATGCCAAATGTATAGCATGGTGCATGACTTCTTTAATTTCATATGGCATTCGGGATTCAGGTTGTTGATGAAGTAATAAGTTGTGCAGACAGTTGGTTTGTCGGCGAGTTGAACGTGTCAGGGTAATGTAGCTAGGCGCGCCAATGCTCGTCCGCTGTTACTGGGCCCTATGGCCCTAGTCTGTCCGCTCGCTATTGAGCTCCGTAATAGGCTGCCGAAATGATAGCATGAGACGCAAACATAACTTTGGTGTAACGGTGGATGCATTTTCCATGCAGCGGTCGCCAAATGGCGCCATGTACAACTCCAAAGACTTCACCTTACGGACAGTACGAAGTTGTTCTCCTATCAAAAACGTGGCTTCGGCTAATCAGTTAATCTTAGCGTCACCCAATCCAATGCTTCTTTCACTAAACCGAATTGTCGCAACTTCTAATGCATGGCTTCCGTTGATTGCGCGTACCGGCTGGGTCCAAGTAGAGTCCAAAGTTGTTTCCTTTGGCGTTCCCGAACAATGAACAAGCACCATTAATGAAAAACCGCACGAGACCTCCACGCACAAATTCCCGCTAACCAATTGCAAAACTGGACCAGGTTGCAATTTTTTAAGGGTGCGTAACCTGCAAGCGTCAAAAGTAGGGGCACCGGAAATGTAATGTGTAAAACGGAGCTGTAGATGTTGTCCTTGTGCTCCTTCCTTCCCTCAGCTGTCCATGATCGGAAAACACACTAGGTCAACGTTGACGACCGAAGTGTGAACTGAGGCAGAACTCTAACATACCAATCGGTATGCAATCATAACAGTGGACGCCGATCGGGTCGAGTACATCGCTCCAAGGAACGCCTCCCGCACCAATCGGCGAACTCGTGACTCAGCATCTGGTTTCGAAAGTGTAATCGAGCAGCAGTTAAGCCTAAATGCCGGCACGAACAGGGCTGTAACCATCAGTGCATCCATGTTTGCTGAAGATACGAAACATATGAATGTGCAGACTGATTGCGACATGGGGCCGGACGTCCCTACCATACGGTTTGCCCTGAAATTGTGTGAGAAAACAGTCGACTGGGATTAGCGATCAACTGGCTGTGAGCAACCCAACTGCCTAAATGCAAGTGACATTCCTTTGAGCAGGTGGCCTCGATGAGGTCGCCCACCGACAAGTCTACTCTCCTATTTCCTTAGTATCATCCTATGCGCGGCAATAATTTTCCATATTAATTTGCATGGTATGATTTCACATCTACTACTTCCGGGAGTTGTGAGCGGTCGGGCGTAGGGTGGTCTCAGGATGGACGTTGGTAACGGCAGCAACGCGGCCACCGTTGCCGCCATCGCGACAAGCGGCGCTGTCAGAAGTATGGGACAAGCACCAACGGTAGCTCCAGCGGGTGCTCCTGCTGCGGATGTCGCGGCGAACCTCCTGCCCGCCGAACGCGATATCCGGGAAGCAAAGAGGCGGTTGCAGGAGGCTGAAACCCTGCTGTCTAAGTTCCCTCTGTACCGGGCTAATGACTATGCGGTAAGATGATGTGTGTGGGGAGAAGGCCCGGCTGATGGCGCGCCATAAAACCGAGCTCAGCGCCTCGAGGGGAAAGAGGCGCAACAGTGGTGCGGCCACTACGATCCATTGCGAAGGCGGAACATAACGAGAAGAACAAGTCAGCTTATCTGTTTCAGAGAAACTCATTAAAAACTTTATCCCACAGCCACAAGCGGCTCCGAAGGGACTGGCGACAGCAGTAGAAGTACAGCTTGCAATCGCGGCTTCCCACAGCTGCGCCTCACCTCGTTGCATGGGCCTTTATCTATTTCGCGCCACTTGCCTTAGCGCACTTACGGCCACCGCATGCGAAAAGGGGGGAATGCTATTGCCTTCCCTTCCCGCAATCCTGTTTTTTCCCCGCAAGCGTGTGGCTCCCGTTCGTCACATCCCGTGTACATTGTGGCACTCCTAGCACCAGGCACCTCAACCCGTGTGTACCTGCCGGCCTCACACTGCATGCCCTGTCGTTAGTCCCTTGATCCCCAAACCGCCCCTGTCCCTGTCTTCACTTCCCTCGGCCCACCCCCGGGTTCCTCTCCTGCTGCCCAGGTTGAGGAGTCCGACCTGCGGCGGTCGCTGATCCTCAACACCACTGACAGCCAGTTCCGCTGGGATAAGGCCTTCTCCTGGTTGTTGTCGCTGGTCATTGGAGTGCTCAACGGGATCGTGAGTTCGGGGGCCTGGGCCCCGGGGGGTGCCCAGGCGGGAGGGCACGTGATGTACGGGGTCGGGTCGTGAGGGGATTATCGGAGTCGTTCCGCGGCGCTGCTGCTGTCGTACTGCTGCTATGGTCAGATACTGTCTGGGATCTCCGTGGTTGGGGATCTCCCCCCCTCGCCCTCGCCCACTCTCCCTCTCCCTCTCCCCCTCTCCCTCTCGCCCTCTCCCTCTCCCCCTCTCCCTCTCCCCCTCGCCCTCTCGCCCTCTCCCTCTCGCCCTCGCCCGCGCCCGCGCCTTCGCCCGCGACCTCTACCTCTACCTCGCCCTCCCCCTCGCCCTCCCCCTCGCCCTCCCCCTCGCCCTCCCCCTCGAGCTCTGCTTCTTGTACACTCTTTCCTTGCAGCAGCTTCACTCGTTCGTGGTTCGTCTTTCCTCCTCCCCTTCTACCTCCCCCTCTACCTCCCCCTCTACCTCCCCCGCTACCTCCCCCTCTACCTCCGCCTCTACTACCCCCTCGCCCTCATTCATGTAGTCCTGTTGGCACCTGGGATGGAGTAATCTTCCACCGGAGTCGTGCGACAGCGGCCCCTGAAGTGTTGCGATGTTCGCTGTGGGAAGTTGATAACGTGATGAGCTCCGGCAGGCAGCTACAGTCCGCCAGGATCGCGGCATGGGGGCTTTACGTCCGTACCCGGGGGCCTTTCGCATCCGCAGATGCTGCCGTTGCGGCTACCCATGATCATGATCATGCCCATACCTCCACCCTTCCCTGTCCCATGTGTCGCGATAGCTTACTTATTATCCGCAACCTCGCCACCGCAACTGCTCTCCTCCCGTTTTAGTTTGCAACGGGTCCTGCACCCTTCACCCTTCAGCCTCATCTTTGCCTCATCACCCCCCAGGTCGGCTTCCTTTTCAACCAGGGCATCAACTGGCTCAACCGCGCCAAGTTCGAGACCACCCTGCGGGTGATTCAGTCCCGCGAGACCACCGGCATTGCCAGCTACCTCGTCTATCTGTCCTTCTCTCTGCTCTACGCGCTGGTGGGGGCTTTGCTGGGCAGTTACGTGAGCCCGCAAGCAGCCGGCAGTGGCATTCCGGAGATCCGCTGCTACCTAAATGGCATTCACGTGCCCGGACTGCTGACCGTGCGGACTTTCCTCGCCAAAGTCAGTGGGGATTACATGCGGGGTATTACATGCGGGGGATTACAGGGGGGGGATTACAGGGGGGGGATTACAGGGGGGGGATTACAGGGGGGGGGTCTAGCGGTTGCAGGGGTCCCGGGTCCCTGGGGTGGGAGGTTGGAGGTGGAAAGGGCAATGGAATTGGAAGAGAAGGACCAATATATCATATGATGATAGTTCGAACTATATAACCAGAGCCGCGGGCTGTAGCCGCAGAACTACACGTCGGACTCTCGGGTCCATGCCCTGGTGGCCTGACCAGATTTCTGCGTTTGCCGCAACGCACCCTTCCCTTCCCTTCCCTTCCGCTCGCAACGCCTGACGCATAGCCCCATAACCCTCGTCCCGCCGTCTGGCACAAGGGGGATGAATCCCCCTGCTCCTCAGCCAACCTCTGAACGGCGCGCCATTTCCCCGCACGTGCATGTTTGTCTGTGTGTGTATGTGTGTGCCTCTGGCTCGCTCTTCCTGAATTGCCACCACATCCGCTAAACCGACGTATCCGCTATAACGATATCGTTTATCTCTCTCTGTGTCTACCCCCAATCTCTTTAAACCCCAAGTTGACCTCACCAACCCTCGGGCCCCTCTTGTGCGCCAGTCGTTCGGTGTGGTGCTCTCCGTGGCCTCCGGGTTGATCGTGGGGAAGGAAGGTCCCTTCACCCACGTGGGCGCCATCATCGGCGGCGGAGTGGGTCACCTGGGGTCCACCTCCCTCACCCGGGCGACCAAGGGGCATCTGCGGGCGGTGCTACACACGCGTTTCGGTCGCTACTTCAAGTCGGCGGTTAGCCACAGAGACTACGTGGCTGCGGGCGCGGCTTCAGGTGAGTGGGAGGGTTTCGGGCTCTCCGGGCTCTGGTCGCCTCCTCTGGCTGCCTGAGGAGGGAGGGTTGAACTGTATAAAGCTGCTCGTCTGGCCTGTGAGAGCAACAATAAGCTCCAATAGTGTAGCAGAATGCCGGAACTATGGAGCTGTCAGCTGAAGTAACAAAGTCGAATTTTTTGGCAAGCCGTACGGCTGCTGTACATAACTTAGCTTAGCGGCTATACTCGCTTCGCTCCTGCCGCATCTAAGCTACAACTTCCCGCAGTCAGGTGCCGCAGCCGATTTCCGCCCACACGGCTTCGAGAGGCCCGGATTGTAAATGTTAATAAGAAAAATAAAGTCCAAGAATGCTCATTGCCAGCAGCACTGCTCTCAACCCACGCGAAGTGCATTACGGTTCAGCGTGGTCGTGGAATGGTCGGGGGACTGGCCAGGGATTAGGTGGTCCAGACGGGGGCTGTTGAGTAGGCGAGGTAGTTTCAGCTGACCGTGTTGTTGTCGCTGTGTTGAAAACAGGAGTGGCGTCGGCATTCGCGGCTCCTATCGGCGGTATCTTGTTCAGCGTCGAGCAGGTGGGTTGCATTTGTGGAGGGGTCGTAGTACGCAACAGGGCGAGGAAGGAAGGGGGAGATGAGGAAGGAAGGGGGTTGAGGAAGGAAAGGGGAGATGAGGAAGGAAGGGGGTTGAGGAAGGAAAGGGGTAAAAAAGGTGCTTTGGATGGTTGAGTTCAGGGAGCGATGTGCCAATGTGCGATGTGAAGGGGCTAAGGGTAAGAGGTAGAGTAAGAAGGTAACGGGGGAAGAGAGAGAGAGGGAGTAAGTGAGGAAGGGAGGGAGGGAGGGAGAGAGAAAGGGAGGGAGAGGGAGAGAGATTAGCTATATCCACCACCATGTTGTTCCCACCATCACCGCTCGAGAACGTTGTCCGGCCACACACCCACGCCCCGCCCTGCCTGCTGCTACTTCCCACTTAAAAGGGCGCATCTTACTACAACTTCAACATGCTCAGCCACGCGTTCCTGTCCGCGGGCATCGCCGTGTACGTGAGTTGGGACTGCAGGCCCCGCGGGTTCTGCTTGTTGTTCTCAACGCATCTTCGCACATCCCGACACCATGCACGGGATCGGGAACCTCGTCATGAGGGCAATGTGATGTATATGACCACATGTCCTCCCCTATCTTCCAGCTAGCCCGGGGGTCTCGTGGTATGGGTGTCCTCCGTAAGGCCGTCCTCGCGGGGTCAGGTCGGGGGGGGGAGCTTTGGAGCTTCGGAGCTTAAACGACCAGCCTCAGTGCTATGTGTCTCCTGGAAAGTGGCTGATGCCGCATGAAAACGATGGGGTGCGATGGGACCTATTGTGTGCGGGGGCCTATCGCCGGCGTATCTATCGGCGTTTCTACGGTGGCACCCGAGTGTGATGCACTCTCGGCGCTCCAAATGCATTCGAGATGCCGTGCACTCTTCCTTTGCGCGCCATCATATGACCCGGACTAACGTTTTGCGGTATAATTAACAGGGGGCCTTACGGCACAATTCTGGTGGGCCCTCTTCCCGTTTCTCTTGTTCCATCGTTCCACTCGTGCACCCACACACGCCTCGCAGGTGAACGCGCTGCTCCAGGCGGCTTTCAGCCAGGGCTCCTCGCTATACAAGACCGCCATGACCGCCAAACAGGCCTTCGTGCTGCTCAGCCAAGTGCCGGAAAATGTGCGTGCGTGCGTGTGCTTGGGCAGGGTGTGGCTGGACTGGGGCGCCCTCTCACCGCCAGACGCTCCATTAATCGATCCGGAGTGCGGGCACCTATCATCCCTTGTCATTGTGCCACACCGCTGCTGGTCCGCTTTCTCCTGAGCTGCCGGAACCACACACACGTGTGCGTGTGTGTTTTTCGCCCCTTTTCCCCCCGAAAAACCTCCCCCCGGCCCCCCAGACCCGTCTGTGGTATTATTCCTGGGAGATCCCTATTTTCGCCCTCGTGGGGCTCCTGGGTGGGCTGCTAGGGGCCGCCATGGTGGTGCTTAACAACGCCGTCACGCGCCTCCGCCGCCGCTTCATCCCGCCCACCAAGCCCGCGCGCCGCATCACGGAGGTCCTGCTGCTCGCGGCGCTCACAGCCAGCGCCTGGTTCCTGGCGTCCTACCTGTCACCCTGCGCGCAGTACCCGCCCAAGCACCTGCTCCTCAACAACCAGGGCAACGTCACCGGCCTAGGCGACCCCGTCGTGCCGTTCGGAGGCTACTATCCTCAGGCAGGGAGTTGTTGGTGGGCTGTAGAGGCGCCCGGTGCATGCCCCACCTGGAACCTGCTCACCCACCCACCCATCCAGCATCTGCTTATTCGGCTTGTCAACTGCGTAAGCGACGATAGTCACTGCGCTGTCCTGACGGTTCCTTTCCCACCCGCCCCCGCCTCCCCC